GGCTGGAATCAACAGGTTCTAGGATTCCCTGTTGGATTAGTTTGTCTAGTTCAGTGTCAATCTTACTTTTTAAAGCAAAAGGGACCCTTCTTGCTTTAATCCTAATGGGAGTGACAGTGGGGTCTAGCTTTAAGGACACAGGGGGGTCCTTTGAATGTGCCCAGCTGGGGGCTGAAAACATCTGCAAATTCTTTGCAGACTTCCTGTAGGTCGAGTGTTTGTAAGCTGTTGAGTCCTGTGACGTGTATCCCCAGGGCCTCAAACCAATCGAGTCCTATGAGACTCGTTCGTTCACCCCCTACTACTAATAAGTCTAGTGGACCTTCAAAACTCTTGTATTGCACGTTAAGGGTGGCCTCCCCCTTAACACACACTCTTGAGTTCTGAAAATCTGTTAATACAATATCAGAAGGCCTTAACTTGGCCTTAGACCCACTTCTGGAACAAATCTTCCTAAATGTATGCAATGAAATGATGGACAGGGCAGACCCTGTGTCTAGTTCCATAGATAATGGAACCCCTTGTAGCTTCACGTTGAGTGACAGCTTTTTCTTCATGGGCTTGTGTGTGCCTGTTCTACAGATGCTTCTTCGCGAAGCGCAAAAACCTACCCTATTCTGGCTGGGGAATCTGGTACCCTTCAGGCGTTCTTCTTGGGGTTGTGCCTTTCGTCGGCCCAGGCACACAGCTGCAATGTGCCCTTGTTTACCGCATGCCCGGCAGGTAGCGGAGCGGAACTTGCAGTCGGTTCTCCTGTGGCGACCTCCACAGCCGATGCACTTGAGCGGAGCCGAAGAGCTTCCCTTCTGGTTCTCTTCCTTCGCGGGGTGTAGACGGTCGACTTCCTCGTCCGGATCCTCCTCGGAGTTTCGTCGGACGTCTTCCTGGTGCACGGACGCACCCTCTGCACTGTTTCTGATCGGCCGCATGTTTTTGACGGCGCAGCCTGCTGCTTCTTCTGCGGTGACTTCCCTTAAGGCGTCTTGGAAGGATAATTCTTCCTTTGCGAAAAGTCTCTTTTGTAGCTCTCGATGCCTTAACCCGCACACGAATCGGTCCCTCAGTCGTTCCTCGAGGTCCTTGAACTCGCAGGGCTTTGCGGCCTTCCGTAACGCGGCGATGTATTCCTTGGCTGACTCACCGGACCGTTGATCCCTCTGTTCGAAGATGTGGCGCCATGAGATACCGGACACCTTGGGGTTGAAGTGCTCCTTCAGCAGCTTCTTCAGGTCTGCGTAGCTTACAGACTCTACTGGGACAGGTGCTGCAAGGTTTTCTGCGATTTCGAAGGCGTCTTTGCCGCAAACGCAAAGCAGGGTGGCCGCCTTCAAGCTATCTTCCCTCACTTGGTTTGCCTTGAAGTAGTTCTCCATTCTGGATACGTAGGACTCCCACCGCTCTGGATGTGAGACGTCGAATTCCGAAAGCCTTCCGATTTTTGCCATCTTCGGATCTTCAGGAGACGGGTCTATCAGCCAGCCTGCCCCCGAATGCGCACCGGATTGGCGGGCAGCTGCCGAGTCGACGCCGTTCCTCTTTCGCCGCTCAGGACTCCTTGGGTAAGCTTACACTTCTTCCTTTCCAGGTAGTGCAAGGCATCCCACCTTCGTCGCCAATGTTGAGTCCGTGGCGGGAAAACAGACACGAGAAGCAGCTGGAGTTCTCAGTTTCATTTATTCAGCGTTCAGCTTACAGGAAGATGGCTTCAGCCTCGCCCAAACGCCTCGCAGCCTCTTATATAGGCAACTCCCGGGTAAATGGGTTACTTTTCCCGCGCCAGCACCCGCGCATGCGCACAGCGCTGGCGACAGCCTGTCTGGTCCCGGGCAGCTTTGCACCTGCCCGGGACTGCCTGCAAACGCCCGAGCCGTTTGCAAGGCTCGGGACATAACAGCTACCATGTCCCCCCCCCTCGTCCTTCTCTTCATTAAACTAGACCTACCCAATTCCAGCAGCCGTTCCTTATATGCTTTAGCCTCCAGTCCCCTGATCGTCTTTGTTGCTCTTCTCTGCACTCTTTCTAGAGTCTCAACATCTTTTTTACATCGCGGTGACCAAAACTGGATGCAGTATTCCAAGTGTGGCCTTACCAAGGCCTTGTAAAGTGATATTAACACTTCACGTGATCTAGGGCAAGAAAAGTCATAAAATGGGACAAAACTCACTTAACAAATGTCTCATTTAGCAACAGAAGTTTTGGGGTCAGTTGTGGTCATTACGTTGAGGGCTACTGGTAGTTCTGTTTGGAAAGCCACGTGTGCTAACTCACAACACAATCTACATTCTGCCTTTCCAAGCTCATAAATAGGACCACAGCATGGAAGAAGCTTTTAGGTTATCCTCTAATCCATTCGAGCAAAGAAAATAGGTGAAAGTCACAGTCCTTGAGCTGTTTCTTCACTGCACCAGCTTCATAGAAGTTGTGGCTTGCATTAAAATGTGTCATGTCCATCAGCTTTGAGAAACTGGGAACTGCGTTTTAACAGCTGGAGAAGAGAGTCCAAGACAGCAGCTGTTACTTTCTTGCTAGATATCTCCAGGAAAAATTTGGTCCATACAGGATCCTCCCATCTTCAGAAAACAAAACCGCTGTTGGTCATTTTAATGAAAGAATGCAAAGTTACACATTGCAATAAACAACGGATGGAAATTAATCAAGGAGAGAAGCAACCTTGAACTAAGGTGAAATGTCCTGAACAATTAATCAGGGGAACAACTTCCCTCCAGGAGTTGTGAATGATCCAACATTGGAAATTTTTAGAAAGAGACTGGACAACCATTTGTCTGAAATGGTTTAAGGTTTCCTGCCTGAGCAGGGGGTTGGACTAGAAGACCTCCAAGTCCCTTCCAACTCTGTTATTCTGTTATTCTGCTTCCTAGGGCCGCTATAGACTTATGACAACAACTGACACCTGAATTTCTGTTGCAAAGCAAGCCGGTTGTTAAGTGAGTTAATTTTAGAAATTTTTTTGCTATGCTTGTTAAGCCAGTCACTGCAGTGGTTAACTACATCAAGCAATCGTTAAATGAATCCAATTTCTTCATTGATTTTTTCCAGTCAGAAGTCAGCTGGGAAAGTTGCAAATGGCAATCACATGACCCCAGGACGCTGCATCTGTTGTAAATACAAGAGTTGTAAATACAGCAATATTATGTCTGCCCCACAGGTGTCGCAGAAACTGAGGGCATAATAATAACATAACAGAGTTGGAAGGGACCTTGTTAAGTCATCTAGCTCAACCCCCTGCCCAAGCAGGAGATCCTATATCATTTCTGACAGATGGCTGTCCAGTCTTTTCTTGAAAGCTTCCAGGGATGAAGCTTCCACAACTTCTGAAGGCAAATCTGTTCCATTGGTTGATTGTTCTGTCAGGAAATATCTCCTTGTTTCCAAGTTGAATCTCTCCTTGATCAGTTTCCATCCGTTATTCTTTCAGGGGCTTTGGAAAATAGGTTGATCCCCTCCTCTCTGTGACAGCCCCTCGTAGAGCATTGTCTCAAATTATTTAAAATACTCCACTCTCCAGAATTAATAAATGGTCTATGCCTCATCTTAAGCTCTCCTATTCTATTTATTGCGGCAGTTAATTGTACGGTTAATACTACAATGTAGAACAGACATTTCAAACACAAGGCCCGGGGGTCGGATGCGGCCCGCAAAGTGGTTTCATGTGGCCCGCGAAGCCATCCTGGAAACAGTGAGGAAACGGCCCCGCTGCTTTGGCCCTGGCCCAGGCTGGCTGGGAGCCAATGTACAATTTTATGGTGGCCATCTATGCTGAAACGCATTCAGTCTTAGCTCCATAAGCCCCCCCACCCCTGCACGGCCTGAGAGGAACAGTGAGGCTCCTCCAGTGGACCATGCCTTGGCACTTGCCCTGGTCCCACCCCCTTCTGCCAGAGACCCTCAGATCTGTCCCACTCCTGCCCAGGCCCCCCCAGGCACCCTTGACATGAACGATGTGGAGCTGGCCACACCCACCCAGTAGGCCACACCCACTCCATCCACGCCCACCCCGTAGGCCGCACCCACCCTGGCCACACCCACCCAGCCCCTTGAGGGCAACCGCAACACTGATGCGGCCCTCAGTGAAATTGAGTTTGACACCCCTGATGTAGAATTTGTTTCTCCTAAAGAAGCAGAACAACAGAGAAGAAAAACTGATATGTTTGTTTTCTATTGACTTTCAGCAAGGTGGTTCTGCTATAGACCACTGCCCTCTAGTGGCAAGGTGACCTTTTTTCCTTCAAAAATAGTTTAAAGTAAGACTTATTCACTACAGATAGTCCTCGATTTACAACAGTTCAGTTAGTGACCGTTTGAAGTTGCAACAGTACTGAAAACAGTGACTTAGGAAGGACCGTTGTTCACACTTACGACCGTTGCAGCCTCCCCATGGTCATGTGATCAAAATTCGGATGCTTGGCAACTGACTCATATTTATGACGGTTGCCGTGTCCCGGGGTCATGTGATCTCCTTTTGCAACCTTCTGAACAGCAAAGACATCATCATCATCATCATCATCATTCCAAACCCTAACCCTATTTTAGGAGGGAGGGAGGGAGGGAGGGAGGGAGAGAGAGAGAATGAAAGAGATAGAGAGAGAATGAAAGAAAGAGAAAATGAGAATGAAAGAGGGAGAGGGAAAGGGAGGGAGGGAGAGAAAGAGAGAGAATGAAAGAGAATGAAAGAGAGAGAAAGAATGAAAGAAAGAGAATGAGAATGAAAGAGGGAGAGGGAGGGAGGGAGGGAAAGAGAGAAAAATTAGAATGTATTGGCTCTTTGCTGCCATCTAGTGGTCGGGATTTTGCAGCTAACATTGCCTGGTTTCCTCCCTTCTACGAGTACGAGTCCGCTCGGCATACATTTCCCACCGTGCTTTGAGGCCAGAGGGGGGGGGGAGAGAGAGAGAGAGAGAGAGAGAGAGAGAGAGAGAGAGAGAACGCCGGTCACATAAAAACTACATTTCCCAGAGAGCCACGGGGTTCCAGACCGGAAGTCGCTCTTTTTTTAGACTTGCTTTGGTGTCTTTTGGTGTAGATTCTGTCTTTCCAGCCAGAGGCCGGTGGGAAGATGCTGCAAATTAGTTCCAGGGGCCTGAGGTTGTTGTTGCGGGACATCCACGGCTTTTCTACACGATTCAGAGGTGAGAGAACTTTTAGTCTATTAACCAGGAATGCTTCGCTTTGCAATCTGATAAACCGAGAAAGCCAGTGTATTTCTCTTGGTTTTATTTCCAAACTATGTTACTGTTTGGCTTGCTTTCTGAGAATTATATCTGAGAAATATTCTGAAATATCACATCTGATATTAATCCAATCTATTGAAACAAAATCCAACTTGTGTTAAAGCTACTTTTAAAACTCAGTTCAGATATATATTAGTTTGCATTTAGTTTGTGCTTTGTTGCGTCTTCAAGATAGATAGATAGATAGATAGATAGATAGATAGATAGATAGATAGATAGATAGATAGATAGATAGATAGATAGATAGATGATAGATTGATTGATAGATAGATGATAGACAGGTAGATAGATAGATAGATAGATAGATAGATAGATAGACAGACAGACAGACAGACAGACAGACAGACAGATGATAGATGCAACAAATATATATTGCATATACATACACACACACCCAATTGACCTGTTTGCTGGCTGGGGATCATGGGCAGTGGAAATCCAACACAGATGTAGAATCCTGGGTTGGGAGAAGGTGCTGTAATGGATGGATGAGGAATAAGAGACTCCATCTGCGTTGGCTAGTTGGGAATTATGGGACTTGAGATGCATGTTGGACACACATATACATGCACACACACACACACATACACACTGCCTTGAATCATGCTGAATTCATCACGGAAATTCTCCAAGAAATTATTTGCTGCCGCTGCTTTTTTTCAGAAGAAGACTTTATCTGACTTCAGTATAGATAGTTTGAACTTTCTGGTGGTCTCCCATCCAAACGTTAATCGGTCCAACCCAGCTTAGTCGTTTGAGACCAACCAAAATCAACCAAAAAGGAGGGAGGCCAGGTCCTAATTTCCACCAAGCTCCACCAAGACAAGACATGTCTCTTTTCTACAATACATTTTTGAAAACATCTTCGAAGCAACCTTAATAATGGATATTTTTTTCAAACTATAGGGAGGAGAGTTAGGGAGAGTTATACAGAGATTTCAATTGCAAAACCAAGGTATGTGCTCACCTGTGAGGATGTCCTGTAAATGCAATAGGATTCCAAGGGAAAATGCATGTGGTTTTTTTTTCGTCATTTACCTTAGAGTAGTATTTCTCATCCTCAGCAACTTTAAGATGTCTGGACTTCAACTCCCAGAATTCTCCAACTAGCAGGCTGGCTGGGGAATTCTAGGAGTTGGAGTCCACACATCTTAAGTTTGCTGAGGTGGAGAAACACTGCCTTAGAAGATGATCAAATGTTATTTGACATAAGCCAGGGGTAGGCAACCTTGGCTCTTTTATGACTCGTGGACTTCAACTCCCAGAATTCCTCAGCCAACATGGCTGGCTCAGGAATTCTGGAAGTTGAAGTCCACGAGACATAAAAGAGCCAAGGTTGCCTACCCCTGACATAAGCAGACAACTCAACCATACCATGCTTCTCAGGTTTTGCTGCTTCGGCCTCAGCGCACTCGTACGATATGAGAAGAGTCGAAATAACTCCGCTGGAGCAACGGAAACTCACCTTCGATACCCATCGTCTTGTGCGAGATCTAGAAGCCCATGGTGAGCAAACATCTCCAGTGAACAGTGTCTAAGAGAACTTTCCTCCGTGTAGTAGCAATAGCACTGAGACTTATATACCACTTCACAGTGCTTTATAGCACTCTCTAAGCCAGTGTTTCTCAATCTTGACAATTTTAAGGCATGTGGGCTTCAACTCCCAGAATTCCACAGCCAGCAATGCTGGCTGTGGAATTCTGGGAATTGAAGTCCACATGCCTTAAAATTGTTAAGGTTGAGAAACACTGCTCTAAGCAGTTTTCAACGTCAGCCTATTTCCCCCCATCAATCTGGGTCTCATTTTACCAACCTCGGAAGGATGGAAAGCGGAGTTAACTTTGAGCCGGTCTGGATCAAACTACGGGCAGTTGGCAGAGTTAGCCTGCAGTACTGCATTCTAACCACTGCGACACCATCCCTCCCTCCCTCCCTCCCTTCCCAATAGCATTTATATACCACTTCACAGTGCTTTACAGTCCTCTCCAAGTGGTTCACAGAGTCAGCCTCTTGCCCCCAACCATCTGGGTCCTCATTTTACTGACCTCGGAAGGGTGGAAGGCAGAGTCAACCTTGAGTTCCGTCAGGATCGAACTCCAGACTGTGGGCAGAATTTAACCTGCAATACTGCATTCTAACCACTGGGCCACCACCATTATTCTATCTCTGAATATCTTTCAACACTGAGTGTTGACTTATGGGTGGGATCCTTCATTGGGTGGCATCAGCCCTCCACAAGATCCTTCTGACAGATAACCCTCAACTTAACAACCACAATAGGGACAGAATTTCCACTGCTAGGCAAGGCAGTCATTGAGGCATGGTAAAAAAAAAATTTTTTTGCCACAGTTGTTAAGTGAATTGCTGCAGTTGTTAAATGAATCACACAGTTGCTAAGGGAATCTGACTTCTCCCATTGACTATTTGTCGGAAGCTTGGTGAGACGGTCTCAAGTGGCAGTTGCATGAGCCCAGGACGCTGCAGGCGTCATAAATACGATAATACCGGTTGCAAAGCACGCAAATTTTGATCCTGTGACTCTGGGGGATTGTGTGATGATAGGAAATGTATGGACCATTGAAAGTCCCCCCCCCTTTTTTTTTTTAACTTTGAACAGTCACTAAATGAATGGTTGTAAGTCAAGGACTACCTGTATTGCTTAAGAAGGAACATCACTACCTTACAGATAATCCTCGGCATACGACCACATTGGAGCCCAAAATTTCTGTTGCTAAGCGAGACAGTTGTTAAGTGAATTTTGCCCCATTTTATGACCTTTCTTGCCACAGTTGTTAAGTGAATCGCTGCATTAGTTAAGTTAGTAACATGGTTGTTAAGTCAATCTGGCTTTCCCCGTCAACTTTGCTTGTCAGAAGGTCACAAAAGGGGATCATGTGACGCCCCAGGACACTGCAACCGTCACAAATATGAATCAGTTGCCAAGAATCTGAATTTTCAGCAAGGGATCGTGAGGATGCTACAACAGTCAAAAGTGTGAAAAATGATCGTAAGCCACTTGTTCAGTGCCGTTCTAACTGTGAGCGGTCACTAAATGAACTGTTTGTAAGTTGAGGACTTTTTGTGCAGTTTTCTCGTCATTATCATGGACTTGGTTTCCCATCGCTGTCTTCTGAAATGTTTCTCAATTTTCTTGCTTTAACTTTCTTGTCTAACTCGTCCTGAGATTCCTTGGCTGCTTCCCATCCAAATCTTAACCAGTCCCGACCCTGCTTAGCTTCCAAGCCCTAATAAGGTCCCTGAGGTATTGGCGTTGAGAACAAGTAGCATAAAACCTTATGGATTATTAGAAGGATAAGGGGGAAAAAATGGAGTTCTGCTTTTCAATTTGTTAACCCAAACTCTGAATTGAGTAGATTACGGTGTACTTTATATACTCAACAGGGTTTGCAAAAGAACAGGCTGAAACGGTTGTCTCGGCATTAATGAGTTTGTCATCGGTCAGCCTGGACACTGTCTACAAGGATATGGTAACACAAGCCCAACAGGTAACCAACCGATGGGTTATTCCTTGGATTTCTCACTTTTTATGGGCCTTAAATACAGGTAGTATCCTCAACCTACAACCACAATTGGTACCAGATTTTCTGTTGTTGAACAAGGCGGGGGTTAAATGAGCCGCACTTGATTTTATGATACTTTAACTATGGTTGTTAAGCGAATCACTGCGGCCGTTGAATGAATGACATGGTTGTTAAGCAGATCTGGATTCCCCCATTGACTTTGCTTGGTGGGAGCCAACAGGGAAGGTTGGAAATGGTGAGATCACACACACACTGGGATGCTGCAGTGTCAGAGCATGCACAGTTTTTTGTTTTTTTTGTAAAAAGTTTTTATTTTCCCTTTTTCATTACACTCTTACAAAATACTTCAGATAAAAATTAAAATAAATTTATACACACAACTTTCGGTATTGCTCAGCCATTTCCCCCCAAACCGTATCCCCCCTCTAACTTCCTCTCTTACTTCCCTCTTCCTCCCTCTTCTGAGCATGCACAGTCTTATTACACTGAGGTAACCCAGTACAGTACACAGTGGTTTGTATTTAAATGGTGGTTTATATTATACCATCTACAAATATACACTAGAAACAAAATACATACACGGGGTGATACAGCAAACTCCAACACACGGCAGTTCAGCAGGAAAGGGACAAGAGAGAAAGACTCCAGCAAGGCCTTCCCTTTTATACTCAAACTCTTAAAGGGATACAGACTCCTGCTGAGTCATTCCTAACATTGCATCGTTCATCTCACATTATACAAGCTGGTTAGCTTCTAAATCATTACCTTGACATGCAGCCATTGGGATGGTGGGGATGCTGCAACAGTTGTGTGAGGATCTGCTACAAGTCACTCTTTTCAAAACTGTTGTATTTTCAAACGGCCGCTATACACATTATTGTAAGTTGAGGACTACCTTGTAATCTTGACATAATCTTCGCAACCGTCTTCATAATTATTTAGGCAATGCATAGCTTAAGTACAGCCTTGTTCTCCCAAGTTGGAAAGCCAGTTGTTTCTTGCAGGGATATTTTGAACTTTTAGATTTTCTGGCTTTTTTACCAAGAATTTAGGGTCGATAATATAGGAATCACCTTTCTCTATAAAAATGTACAGATGTGAATAAGAGGAAGTAAGGTAAAGGGGAAAAGATGTCCTCTGTCTGACTCTAGAGGGCGCTGCTCATCTCCATTTCTTGACCGAGGGAGCCAGCGTTGTCCGAAGATGCTTCCGTGGTCATGTAGCCAATATGACTATATGCCAAGGCACCCAGAACACAGTTACTTTCCCACTGAAGGAATACCTATTAATCTACTCGCATTTGCATGCTTTCGAACTACCAGGTGAACAGGAGCTGGAACAAGGAACGGGAGCTCACCCCGTCTTACAGTGCTCAGATCTCAAACCCAGGCTGTCAGCTTTCCAGCTGATAAGCTCAACGTCTTTAGCCACTGCACCCCCAAGAGAAAGTGATTGATCCTAAATCATCCTGTGAAACTTGAACCTTGATCATTCCACTCCAAACAGAACATGTGACTGTGACGTTTTTACAAGGCAGTGAGATGGCCTTGTAAAAATGTCACCCCTACGGGAACCCCTAGAAGTGTGCGCAAAACATTTTGAGATCTAATTGTCCTGACATTAGATATGTGCCTTAAAAAGTCTGTGTATACATGTATATGTTTGTATATAATGTATAAAAATGTGTATATATGTATATGTGTTTGTATAATGTATAAATACAGTGTATGAAGTTTGCCACTGCTTCTCCAAAATTTCCCATCAAACATGTTATCATTACACAGAACGTTCTTCTGACATATTCCCGTCTCATCAATTAAATATCCTGCCGGAAAACAAGGAATATTTAAGATGCCTTGAAAATTTTGTGTGTTTATATAGGGCAGGGGTAGGCAACCTTGGCTCTTTTATAACTCGTGGACTTCAACTCCCAGAATTCCTGAGCCAGCGTGGGCAAAACTTTGGCCCCTTCATGATTCGTGGACTTCAACTCCCAGAATTCCTGAGGCAGCCATGCTGAGGGAAAAGGGAAAGGTTTCCAAGCTGAGCCATGCTGGCTCAGGAATTCTGGGAGTTGAAGTCCACGAGTCACAAAAGAGCCAAGGTTGCCTACCCCGATATAGTGTATTTTTATTTTATGTTTTAGGAAATAACTTTGCAGCAGATAATGTTTCATCTGGATTCCATTCGCAAGGATATGGTCATTCTTGAGAAGAGCGAGTTTGCCAATTTGAGAGCAGAAAACGAGGTATTATTCCCCCCCCCCCCAAAATGCCCTGAGCCTTATTTGTTTAGCTTGTGAAGGTATTCTGCAAAACCGACATTTTCAGATTTTACATGTTACGGGCAGTGTTTCAAATTCAGTCCCAAGCAAGAGTTTGTGGGGGCATGAACGGAATGGCTGGTTGCAGCCCTTTAAAGCAGCTGCATCATTGCTCAAACGTGTGAAGGCGGCTGTGAAATTTAACATATATTGTGCTGTTACACTTCCTTTATACCATCCGCTGTTCCTCTGCTTTCTCCCTCTCTTCCTTAGAAAATGAAAATTGAATTGGATCAAGTTAAACAGCAACTAATGGTAAGTAGAACGGACTCAGCCCAACTCTTAGGTTTTAGGATGGAGCTATACCTACTTTTAAAAAATAGTTGTAGACAATCTTTTCATTCAAGAAAATCTGGTCCTCTTGGTTTTGCTACACAGCTGGAGCCCCACCTAAACCACCTGTGCCTTTGGGAAACCTTGAGCAAGGCCCCCACCCAGCCCTGTGGCATTCTGCCAGGTGCTGTAACTGAAGAGTAAATAATAACTTTAAATAAAGATGCTAGTCACAACTGTGCAACAGCAGGAAAGGGGAAATGAGGATCTTACACAAGGTACTGAAATCAAATTTCAATCAGAATAGGACCTTGGAGGTCTTCTAGTCCAACCCCCTGCTCAAGCAGGAACCCCTATACCAGGGGTAGGCAACCTTGGCTCTTTTATGACTCATGGACTTCAACTCCCAGAATTCCTGGGCTAGCATGGCTGGCTCAGGAATTCTGGGAGTTGACGTCCACTAGTCATAAAAGAGCCAAGGTTGCCTACCCCTGCCCTATACCATTCCAGACAAATGGCTGTCCAGTCTCTTCTTAAAAACCTCCAGTGATGGAACACCCACAACATCTGAAGGCGAGCTGTTCCACTGGTTGATTGTCCTCACTGTTAGGAAGTTTCTCCTTAATTCCAGGTTGCTTCTCTCCTGGATTAGTTTCAATCCATTGTTTCTTGTCCTGCCTTCAGATGCTTTGGAGAATAGCTTGACTCCCTCTTCTTTGTGGCAGCCCCTTAAACACTGGAATATTGCTGTCACGTCACCCCTAGTCCTTCTTTTGCCTAGATTCGGCCCTGGGTTTCAAATAGCAAGATCTCCAAAGAGAAATAGAATTTTCAGGCAGGCTTGAAAATTCAGGAAAAGAATATTCTGTTTTTGCTTCCTAAAATTGAGAGGGGCGTGTTTTTCTCTCCCTTTTTAAAGAATGAAATTAATCAAATCAAAGCAGAAAACAAGCTCGACATCAATTTGGAGAGAAGCAGAGTGACCGATATGGTGAGTAGTTCCATGTTGGTATTTTTTTTTCTTACCATTGACTTGCAACCACGATGGAACTCCACATTTCTGTTACTAAACAAGGCAATTGTCAAGTGACAATTTGTCTCCATTTTACTATCTTTTTTTTGCCACAGTTGTTAAGTGAATCATGTGGTCATTAAGTGAATCATGTGGACATTAAGCAAATCCGGCTTCTCCCACTGACTGCTTGTCATTGTAACCATGTCATTGTAACTGTGAACAGTCACTAAATCAGGGGTCTTCAAACTTGGCCCCTTCATGACTTGTGGACTTCAACTCCCAGAATTCCTTAGCTAGACATGCTGGCTGAGGAATTTTGGGAGTTGAAGTCCACAAGTCATGAAGGGGCCATAGTTCCCCCATGCTGGCTGAGGAATTCTGGGAGTTGAAGTCCACAAGTCATGAAGGGCCCTTAGTTCCCCCATACTGGCTGAGGAATTCTGGGAGTTGAAGTCCACAAGTCATAAAAGGGCCAAGTTTGAAGACCCCTGCACTAAATGAATGCTTGCAAGTCAAGAACGAACTGTACTTTTTGATCTGATTCTGTATTCCTGCTTTTTTAAAAAAATGTTTTTCTTCCTTTTTCTAATTCTCCAGTTCACAGATCAGGAAAGAAAGCTGATGGAAGCCTCAACAGAATTTCATAAAAAGGTATGAGTTTGAACCACTTTTATTCCAAATTCTAAATACTCTTTATTTGATTTGAAATACATCTGTTGGTTTGCAGGAAACAGGGGTTGCAGGACAAAAATCTCCATTTGTCCCCTTCTATTTAGCATCTCCATTTGATTCTCACAGACCTGCTTCTCCTTCCCTGTCAGCCTTCCAGTTCTCTGACTCCAATTCCTAGAATTCTCTTCAGTTGCCGTGACAGGATTGGAATTCTGGGGAATAAAAAATCCACAATCTAAAGCAGTTTTTCTCAATCTTGGCAACTTGAAGGATCTGTGGACTTTCAACTCCCAGAATTCCCCAGCCATCTGGTTTCTGTAAACTAGTGGTTTATATTTGGGTTTCTGTTGTTTATATTCTCAAGCTCACTTTTTTGGATGAATAACAAGAGATACATATTTTACATTAGTGGAAAGTTAAATCCCCCTCCAATCAAGATTGGCTTCCGGTCAATCCAAGGACCCAACCAGGTTTTTTGGCCAAAAACATGGAAATGGTTTGTTACTAGCTATCTTCTAGGGTGTGTTTTCAACTTTCTAAACTAGGGTAGTCTAATCTAGCAGGCAATCTTGGGATTTCCTTGTGGTATCTCATCCCAATATTAGCCTGGTCTGATCTTGCTTAGTTTTTCTGAGAACACCCAAACTTAGTTAGGTATTTCTATCTGCTGACTTTCACTAATAAAGAGTGTTGTATTTTTTTCCCCTGGATTCACTTTAACAACTGCAGTGATTCCTTTAAAACCGTAGGAAAAGAAGTGGTAAAATTGCAACATAACTCACTTAGCAATCACTTTGCTTAGCAATGGAAATTCTGTTCCCAATTTTAGTTGTAAGTCAAGGACTGCCTGTACATTTGTAGTAGGTAGCAACGTGACAGAAGGCAATGTGTACATTTTAAATAACCTGACAGAACAGAAATAACTTTTTCCTAGTATCCAAAGTTAGCTAATTCTTGGTTAGTTGATTCCTGATCAGGGACTGCCACAAAAAAGAGGGGAGGTTGTCAATCTATTTTCCAAAACATCTGAAAACAGAACAGGAAGCAACGGATGGAAACTGATTAAAGAGAGAACCAATCTAGAACTAAGGAGAAATTTCTTAAGAGCAAGAACAATTAACCAGTGGAACAACCTGCCTCCAGAGGTTGTGGGTGCTCCAACACTGGAGATTTTTAAGAAGAGATTTATTTATTTTTATTTATTTTATTTATGAGACTTATATACCGCTTTAAGTGCAAGCACTCTCTAAGCGGTGTACACCAGTAAGCAATGTATATATATATATTTACATTGCCCCCAACAATCTGGGTCCTCATTTTACCTACCCCGGAAGGATGGAAGAGCCGGTGAGATTTGAACCGCTGACCTGCTGAACACAGTCAGCTAAAGTGGCCTGCAGTACTGCACTCTAACTGCTGCGCCACCTCGGCTCATTGGACAACCATTTGTCTGAAATGGTATAGGGCAGTGGTGGCGAACCTATGACACATGTGCCAGAGGTGGCATTCAGAGCCCTCTCTGTGGGCATGTGCACCGTTGCCCCAGCCCCGCCTCCCCCCACGGCCCCTCCCCCTAACAGCAGCCCCCCCCTGGAGGAGAGTCGCTCCCGAGTGCAGTCTGCATGGAGTAGCATAGCCAAAGAGCATGGCAGCCGGGCAGCAGGGACAAGACGCTGCCATCACGCACAGTTAATGCTGTGGGGCGCGGGCGGAGGGCGTGGCCACCATGGCGCTGCTGGGCCGCCTGGGCGATCTGCGGCAGGCCGTGGAGGCGGTGAGTGGCCCTGCGGGTGGGCGGGGTGGGGATGGAGCAGGGGTGGGCTGGGGGGCAGGACAGGGTAGAGCGGGGGTGGAGCAGGGGAGGGGTGGGGGTGAGGGCGGTTTTGGGGCACTCGGTCTCTAAAAGGTTCGCCATCACTGGTATAGGGCAGGGGTAGGCAACCTTGTCTCTTTTATGACTCGTGGACTTCAACTCCCATAATTCCTGAGCCAGCCATGGGGAAAACTTTGGCACCTTCATGACTTGTGGACTTTAACTCCCAGAATTCCTCAGCCAGCATGGGGGAAACCTTGGCCCCTTCATGACTTGTGGACTTCAACTCCCAGAATTCCTCAGCCAGCATAGCTGGCTCAGGAATTCTGGGAGTTGAAGTCCACGAGTCATAAAAGAGCTAAGGTGCCTATCCCTGGTATAGGGTTTCCTGCTTGAGAGGGTTGGACTACAAGACCTCCCAGGTCCCTTCCAACTCTGTTATTCTGTTACAAAGGATGTTGATGCCACCCTAAGCCACAGGGAGAAAATTTCCTGTCTCTGCCAACTGCGCTGCTCATTTTTGGGTGCCAAATGATGCCGTGTGTCCTTCTAGGATTCAAGCACCAACAGTTCCCTTACAGAAGTCAACAATAAGATTGATGCTGAAATTGCAGCTCTCAAAACACTCATGGAGTCGAATAAGCTGGAAACCATCCGTTACTTAGCAGGTATGTGCCTGGTGCGTTAAAGGCCAGCCTCCAAAGTGGGATGCTTAGCAACTGAAACAAACTGGCGTCATTTGCTCTGGCTGCTGAAGGGTTTCACCATTCCATACTATACCGTGGAGATTCTCAGGTGCTTTTTCAAAAGGCAGCTGGAGTGTTTTCTCCTTGAGGAAGAAGAAGACATTTCACTTCTCATTCAAGAAGCTTCCTCAGTTCTGACTGGATGGTGAGGGGATGGAAGGATTTAGTTCTGGCCAGTCAGAACTGAAGAAGCTTCTTGGATGAGAAGCAAATCTTTCTTCTTCTTCTTCTTCTTCTTCTTCTTCTTCTTCTTCTTCTTCTTCTTCTTCTTCTTCTTCTTATTCTTCTTCTTCTTCTTATTCTTCTTCTTCTTCTTCTTCTTCTTCTTCTTCTTCTTCTTCTTCTTCTTCTTCTTCTTCTTCTTCTTCTTCTTCTTCTTCTTCTTCTTCTTCTTCTTCTCCTCCTCCTCCTCCTCCTCCTCCTCCTCCTCCTCCTCTTTCTTCTTTCTTCTTCTCTTCCTCTTCTTCTTCTTCTTCCCCTCCTCCTCTTTCTTCTTTCTTCTTTCTTCTTCTTCTTCTTCTTCTTCTTCTTCTTCTTCTTCTTCTTCTTCTTCTTCTTCTTCTTCTTCTTCTTCTTCTTCTTCTTCTCCTCCTTCTTCCTCCTCCTCCTCCTCCTCTGTGTAACTTCTCCAAAGTTATCTCTGTGGTCCTCTGCAGACAGTGGTGGAGCTCTTCAAGTGCAGTTGGTTGAACATTTGTTGGGAGTGGTTTAGTAGTGGATACTTGCCCTGAGCAAGGCTTTGGACTAGTAGACCCATATGATCCTTTCCAATTTGTACATTTTAATGCTGGGTCCTCTAAACAGCTCTAAGATGACCATCCAACCTCTGTTTGAAGACCTCCAGAGATGCTCTTTAGTATCAAATGGCAAAGGCAAATTCCATGAAACTTTTTAACCCAAAAACATTCACCGTTTTTTTTCCCCCTTTTAATTTCAGCCTCTGTTTTCACTTGCCTTGCTATTGCTTTGGGATTTTATCGGTTTTGGAAATAAGAAGCCCTCCAATGGGAGGAAGAGAAAAAGGACAGAGCAAAAACACTCCTAATTGGACACCTACAACATATCTGAGATAACCTCTTCTGGCTGATCCTTTCAGCCTTCCTTCATCAGCCAGTGATCTTTTTCATCCTCCATTGCTCTGGACAAAACCGCTCAAAACAGTTTGCGCCCAATTGAAGAGTGATCTACTGGAGCCCAAGAGATCTGTGGCGCTTGAAGATCTAGACAAGGGAGGTAAAGCTGCAATCAGCTGTCGTGTCATGTACTGCAGCTGGTTTTTCTCTTCTCCAGCCTGATCTTCTTGGCCTTCGTCCTTCGGGTTGAATTTCCTTGCTCTCCACTGCAGCTGAGTTGGGACTGTAGCTTTGAGAATTCAGATTGGCTGAGAATTTACACAGCTGCACCCCTAACATATCTGGAACGTCCCAACAGCAGAACCACTGTTTTCTCTGCACAAATGTGTCTCCGAGTTTAGAGCTTCTGGTGGAGAAATTTCTTCTCATCAGGTGTTCTGTTGCCCTCATACATAACAGCACTAGAGATCACGTCCCACCTGGGACGAGATAACCAACCAGCAGAGAATGTTTAAACACTAGTTTATCCTTAATGTCTAAGACGACTGAATGTATTGCAATTTTCTTTTCCCCCACGGAACACACAATGCTACTTATATTCCATTCTAGACTGGAAATCTAGGCCCTTTCTATGTTGGTATTCTCAGCATTGCATAGTAGCAATTCTGCCCCGGCATTCTTCAACCAAACGTATGGACTTCAACTCCCAGAATTCTCTTAATCGCCTTGACTTTTGCTGGGAATTCCAGGAACTGAGAGGCATGGAGGCTGGAGGATCTATAAGCCGCCCGGGATCCCTTCTAGGGGATATAGGTGACATAAAAAAATAAATAAATATATAATAGTTTCAGAAAAGGCTGAAAGATCTAGGACAGTGTTTCTCAACCTTAGAGCAATTTTAACAAGGCTGGCTAGGGGAATTCTGGGCGTTGAAGTCCACTCATCTTAAAGGTTGAGAAACACTGATCTAGGATAGCCTACAATTGTTGACTGAAACTAACGCTGGGACCTTTTGAGAGTCAAGAGGTGCTTTATTGCTAAATCTTGGCCTTTTTCAGTTAAGCAAAAAAAAAAAAGCCAAGGTGCCTTTTAAAATTTAGCTTAGCCCCGTTTGTAAGGCAGAAGGAAAGCCAGAGCAATTTCAAAATGCCGCAGTCTTTGAATTCTCTTTTGTGGTAATCCGGTAGAAGTTTTAACTATTGGGTGCATTTGTTAATCTGTGATGCTCTTGCTAGATTACTCTTCTTCTCTTATCAAGAGTTGTTTAGATTCACCTTAACCCTGGGGTAGACAACCTTGGCTCTTTTATGACGCGTGGACTTCTCCCAGAATTCCTGAGCCAGCATGGCTCAGCTTGGAAACTCTCCCTTTCCCCTCAGCATGGCTGGCTCAGGAATTCTGGGAGTTGAAGTCCACAAGTCATAAAAGAGCCAAGGTTGCCTACCCCTGCTTTAACCAATTGGCTGTTTTGGGGAAGTCAAAACACTTACCAGCATAACACAACTCGCTTAAAAACTGATGTGACACTCGGGCTTGTTAGCCCTAACTTATTGAATGAGTCTTGATTAGCTGGATTTACCCAAGACACGAAATCATAAATCTGGGGTTTATAGACTGCAGTTGCTGGTTGTCTGATATTCAGAACTTTTGCTGGTTCCACAACAGTGCTAAATGTCCCTGGTAGCCATCGACACACTCCAAAAATGACAAGCCAGGCCTGGAAGACGAGCATGTAGGTGGTTAACAACCCCATCCCCACCCCGCCAAATGCAGAAAAGCTCCAAAGTTATGGCTCCATTGTAGGGGGAAGGGGGGTGTCAAAAGAAAAATCTAATATTTATATTTTTGACGCCTCTGCTTTCTCCCAACAGTACATAAGCCACATAGTGGTTGGCTTTGTGTGATAGAATTGGATTAGTTAAACCAATGAGTGTTTACCTAAAATGGTGTGTCCACATACAACAGTGGCCCCCAACCTTTTGGGCACCAGGGACCGGTTCCGTGGAGAGATTTTTCCGTGGACCAGAAGGGGGTGTGGTTTTGCACGCTGCCTGCATCCCCACATGCACAGATGGGTCTTGTGCAGGCCAGTTTTTGGGGCGCCATTAACAAGTACCTGTGCCGCAGCCTCGGATTTGGGGACCCCTGATGTACAACTATTGACAAGGGCTGATTTTCAATTCCATGCAGAGGGCAACTTACCCATCACCAGGCTAGTTCAAAAGGGTGAGTTGAATCTGGAGCCTTAATAAGGATATCACGTTTTCTACATCTTGTCTCTGATCTAACCTGCTCTAGATTTTTTTTTTTTTTAGCCTTTCCCAATTCATCCAGAATATCGAGATATCACGTTGAAAAGACAGTTTCAGAAGCTCTGATGTGAGCGAGAGAAAGGAAGGATTTACTATTATTATTATTACTGAAGATATCCTTTAAAATACCACATTAATTCCCAGGAAACTTTAAACCTTCCTTTCCAGAGCTATATTTTCTGCTTTTTATCTTGCGTTATCCACAAAATACAGGGTGCTTAAAGCTGCCAGATGTTTTCCTTTGCGAAGGGAAGATTTAAGTATGCATCGCCAGCTGCTTTATTCCCCTCAAATACGTGCATCAGACAGATTGTTATTGTTTGTTTGTTTTTTTAATGCAGTATTGTGTTTTGTAGTTCTATAAAATAGTCTGGCCTCCTATTGTGCTTTCCAGATGTTGGAGAAATAATTGTATTTTTACTCTCACACGTTGAAGGGAGGTGGGTTGGGACAGTGGCCCCAAAGCACAAGGAAAGTGAATTTCTTCAGAAATCATTCTTGTTGCTGAATTTTACAAACCAAAGTTCTTGGAAGTGAATGTCTCTGTTTTAATATTAAACATTTGCTGACCACATGGCTACAATTATTCCAGAGTTGCTTGATTGTCCAGTCCCTTCCTACACTTTGCGAACCAACCTGTCTCATATCACCAGGATGGCCTTCAGCAATTCCTTTGAATTCTTGTAAGCCCATTTTTCCCAATTTCCCCCCTTTTTAGAAGAAGTTTTCATGTAGAAGCAAACAAATCTTGTATTTTCAACCATCTCTGCCAGAGTTCTTGGACTTGCTGATGTACAATAAGACAGATGCATCACTCATATTAAATTGTTGAGTTTATTAGCGTCTCCACTGTACAGCAGAAATTTCACTGAGCCTTGGCTAAGGGGCAACATAAGCATTGGAAGTTTTCTTTTTTTAAAAAAAAGGTTAATATTTAATGACAAGCCAGGGTACAATAATTAGCAGTGCATTTTAAAAACCCTTACCTGTAATGGCATCCTGGTTCAGAGGCAGCCTTTCCAAATTTGGAAAGCTCAAAACGGGTTAAAAAGCACGATTGCCTCCAAACTACAAGAATTTCATTCTGAGGGCTGTGAAAATTTCACATTTAAAAGGTTGCACAAAAATGATGTTCAAGAGCTTGGATTAATCTGGAATTTGAAGGAGGAAGTTGACACAGGCTATGGGGCCATAAAAAAATGCCTCCTTAAATCAACACCCACGCAAGCTTAGATGTCACTTGATTTTCGACAGGTGGACCTGTGCACACAGACAGGTGATACGTAATAAACTTTTTCCATTCAGATTCTGGTAAGACAATATATTTATGATGCCAAAAAAACAGACGTGCTTTGACTAGTTAAGAATTTGGCATTGTTAGTTCACCTTTCATGCTGAGGATTGTCTGGGAAGCCAACTGAATGTAATTTTCCTTTGAGTAAAATGTTTACTACTTGTTTTTCTTAGAATCTTTTTATAATCACACCTCCAGGGCTAAAGAGAGGCCTTTTCTTCAATTTCTTCTCTTTCTTGGTGTCAAAACTCACTTTAGGCAAATCGGAGGATGCTTTGTCTGGGTCAGATACTTCTTTAGGAAAAGCCAATGATTCCTGTAAGAGACATTGGAAATTAACCTCATTCTAGGTCAGAGGTAGGCAACCTTGGCTCTTTTATGACTTGTGGACTTCAACTCCCAGAATTCCTGAGCCAGCATGGGGGAACTGTGGCCTCTTCATGACTTGCGGACTTCAACTCCCAGAATTCTTGAGCCAGCATGGGGGAACTGTGGCCTCTTCATGACTGGTGACAACTCCCAGAATTTCTGAGCCAGCAGGGGGGAAACCTTGGTCCCTTCATGACTCGTGGACTTCAACTCCCAAAATTCCTGAGCCAGCATGGGGGAACTATGGCCCCTTCATGACTTTTGGACTTCAATTCCCAGAATTCCTAAGCCAGCATGGGGGAACTATGGCCCCTTCATGACTTGTGGACTTCAACTCCCAGAATTCCTGAGCCAGCATGAGGAAACTTTGGCCCCTTCATGACTCGTGGACTTCAACTCCCAGAATTCCTGAGCCAGCATGGCTCAGCTTGGAAACTCTTTCCCCTCAGGGTGGCTGGCTCAGGAATTCTGGGAGTTGAAGTCCACGAGTCATAAAAGGGTCAAGGTTGCCTACCCCTGTTCTTGGCTTTTGGCAGGAAATGAAATTGAAAGGGACCTTTTAAAAGGAGTTACGCCAACAGAGATTTGGCCTTCTAACTTCTAGGGAAGCAGTAGCCAATTGACTTGTCTATTTATGTTCTTTACGTTTAATATTAGAGAGCCAGATTGGCCTAGTGCTTGAGGCACCAGGCTGGAAAAGGGGAGATGGTGAGTTTTAATCCTACCTTAGGCACGAAGCCAGCTTGGTGGCTTTGGGCCAGTCGTTCACTCTCCGCCCTAGAAAGGAGGCAATGGCGAGGCCATGCCTGAAGAATGTTGCCAGGAAACGAGAATTCATTTTCCAAGAATGAAAAATAACTTGAAAGCAGAGGTCTCCTTTATATTCAGTATTAAAAGTAAAGATGGCCTCAAGATTTCTTCAACCTCATGAGTATCTCCACATAGTTTTCCTGGCAATAGTAGGGGAGTGTTATGCTATTGCCTTGTTCAGAAATGTTTTCCTCCAGTTCCCAGGCAAAGTTCTTACATCCTGGAATTCCCTGATGGTTTTTAACCAGCAGTAAGTACTAACCAGGTCCAAATCAAACTTACCAAGAGCCCCCCAAATCAGCTAACTGGATATATGCAACAGCATCAACTAGAAAAGCTTCCCAACAGATTAACTAACACTCCTTTTCCACAAAAAAAATTATTATTTTTAAAGAGATAGAAAACTGGAACTGACTGGCCCAAAACCCCTAAAAGGTAGTTATTCCACACTAGGTGCGTTGGGACTACAGATACCAAATGTTCGGAAGGAATTCATCAATATCTAAGGAAGGTGATGAGGAACATCAGCTACAGAGTACAGAGTGCAGAGAAGAGCAACAAAGATGATTAGGGGACTGGAGGCTAAAACATATAAGGAACGGTTGCTAGAATTGGGTATGTCTAGTTTAATGAAGAGAAGGACGAGGGGGGACATGATAGCAGTGTCCCAATATCTCAGGGGCTGCCACAAAGAAGAGGGAGTCAAGCTATTCTTCAAAACACCTGAAGGCAGGACAAGAAGCAACGGGTGGAAACTAATCAAGGAGAGAAGCAACCTAGAACTAAGGAGAAACTTCCTGACAGTGAGAACAATTAACCAGTGGAACAACCTGCCTCCAGAAGCTGTGGATGCTCCAACACTGGAAGTTTTTAAGAAAAGACTGGCAGCCATTTGTCCGAAATGGTGTAGGGTTTCCTGCCTGAGCACGGGGTTGGACTAGATGACCTCCAAGGTCCCTTCCAACTTTACTACTATTACTATATGCAATGGCTCCCAGCTATCGGATTAATTTCCCATACAGCAGAGCTGCGATTCTAGGATAGATCTGTTAAAACGCAGGTAAAATTTTAACTGTTCAAATCTCCATCGGTTAAGAAAGCTAAAGGAACTCGGAAGGAAAGCTGGTCAGAATAAAGTGAGAGAAAAGGAGTTTAAACATATATTGAAAGTAAAAAAGAAAGGAGTTGGCAATTAAGCGTAAACATTCATTCTTAAACACAGAATAGTTCCTCTTTCAAGACAAGCAAGTTATTGCCTTCTTTAGTATTTGTTCATCTGATGTTGTGGTTCACTAAATTGTAATTATTCATCATCCAACTGCTGAATGAATGAGAGAATTTAATTCCCATTGTGCCATGTCTAAGAGACCACCTGATCAAATATCAGATGGGAAAGATCTGGTCCACACATGAAGGTCCAATTAAACCAATTTATTGTCCAAAGCCTAAGTACGGAAGTCTTCTCAACTTTTATTAGCACCTGGTTAGAATTAGATAAGGGTCAATGGCACTCGAAGGATGTTGAACTTAGTTCATTGGTGGCTATGTAGAGATTCTAGGCTGATACCTCTTTTAACTCTGCCCCCCCAGTTCTGCCCCTTCTTGTCCTACACTAGATGAAGAACCACAGAGAAAGGGGACATCAGTGTAAGTCACAATTTCAGAGTAAGAAGTCCACCTTTATCAGTTATGAAAAAACCAGTGATATCTTAAGGTTCTTTTTGTTTAATCTCCCCTATCAATGTAAGACAAAATTATGCCACTTCATTTGAAACCAGTCCTGGTTTCATCTCTTGGGTCATCTTGGGAAATGTCAACTCTGAGAAAAAGACAGTGAATTTCAACAACTGTAGAATCAGGCAGCAGCATAACAAAATTGACAAAAATGAAGGGGGGTCTAAACGCTTTCTGAATGCGCTGCATATCCAATCGTCAAGGAGGCCGAGAATCACAATTTACCTAAGAGAAAAATGGTACTCACCACAGAGAGCGTATGGGTTGGAGGCATCGCGTTGTTTTCTTGTAGTTCTTTGAATTTTCCTATTTCTGCTCGGGCCTCATCCAGCTGTGCTTCCAACTTCTCCCGTCGCATCTGCTCATATTCCAGCTGCTCTTTCAGCTCAGAGATGGTCCTTTTTGAAAGCCAGAAAAACGAGCATCAGAAGATGGTCTCAAAAAAAAACCCCTCAAACATTATGCATATACCCACATACACACACACCTATATGACACAGAGAAACATCACAATCTAGTTCAAATATATACATATACATGGCAAAAAAAGAAAAAGAAATCCTGCAAAATGAAATGAACAGACTTTACAGATTTGCGTGGAACTCTACTTTATTGGTATGGGCTACATTAACAGAATCTTTCATGTTTAACTCGGTTTAATGGGGTGTGTGATTGTCCTCTGTTGTAGTCAATGGCAGAGGGCAGCAGAGCAACAATTCTTAACAAGGACATTAGTAAGTTATGAAGGAAGAGTGTTCACCCTATTATTGAAAACTATAAAAAAAGTCTGGCCACACTTTAAAACCTGGTGAATGTTTATCTTACCAGCTTTTGCAGAGTGTAGACTACCAGCCATGGGGGTGGTTGCAACTACTAACTCTAATTCGTTTTGAAATTCAAGGGAGTTGAGATATAGAATAGAATAGAATAGAATAGAATAGAATAGAATAGAATAGAATAGAATAGAATAGAATAGAATAGAATAGAATAGAACTGGAAGGGACCTTGGAGGTCTTCTAGTCCAGCCCCCTGCTCAAGCAGGAGAACTTATACCATCTCAGACAAGTGACTGCCTAGCCTCTTCTTAAAAACCTCCAGTGATGGAGCGCCCACAACTTCTGAAGGCAAGCTGTTCCACTGGTTAATTGTCCTCACTGTTAGAAAGTTTCTCCTTAATTCCAGGGTGCTTCTCTCTTTGATCAGTTTCCAACCATTGTTTCTCGTCCTTCCCTCTGGTGCTTTGGAGAATAGTTTGACCCCCTCTTCTTTGTGGCAGACCCTCAAATACTGGAACACCGCTACCATGTCACCCCTGTTTCTTCTTTTTTTTAGACTAGCCAAACCCAAGTACTGCAGCCGTTCTTCGTATGTTTTAGTCTCCAGGCCTTTGATCATCTTAATTGCTCTACTCTGAAATTTTTTCCAAACTCTCAACATCTTTTTTGTAATATGGTGACCAAAATTGGTTGCAGTATTCCAGGTGTGGTCTTACCAGGGTTTTATAAAGCGGTACTAATTTATACCTGGCTCTTATTTTTAAGAACTCAAGTTGATCCATACAATATTACCTATTTGCTTCCTGACAACACTGTGAGTTAGCTTAGATTCAGAGAAAATGACTGGCCACTTTCCATACCTGAAGGATGATTACAGCTTAGACTGTAGTCCAGGGCTTTTTCTAGGCCAAGCTTTTTTCTTTTTGAAGCCCAATTCAAATGCAAATACTCTAGATGCGTTGTACATGCAAGACTCACCCCCCCACACACACATTATGGATGCCAATAACCAGGGCTTTTTTTCTCATAGAACGTCCAGAATGGAGTTCCGGCACCTTTTTTGGATGGAACCTTGTAGGGTAGGCAAGGCGGGTTGTATGACATGTGTGAGTTCCGGCACCTGTTTTTTTTTTTTTTTAAGAAAAAAAACAGTGCCAATAACCATCACCAGGAGTGATGGGTCTACCCAGGGGAGGCATTACCTGAGTCAAATTTAACAACACTATTAAGCCTGTCTGGTAGTTCAACTTTAATTTAGGCATCTTTTGCTCCCAAAATTCCACTGTGTCTTTGTGGCCGTGGACAATGCTGAAGTTCTCAAGATCAATTCCTTCTTCTGCCAGCAAAACGTTTTGCAATTTCTTAACTCTCAGTCCCTTCTTATACTTGCTTAAGAGGGCAGTGAGCGATGCCACGACTTCGCTTAGTACTACAGGCTTCTTTTCAGAGTCTTTATTAGATTTTATCCAGCTTTTATTGCTTCATAAGTAACTCACAGTAGAAAACATACCTAATGTGCTTTCTTCCTCCTATTTTCCTCACAAGAACCCTTGGAGGTGGGCTGGACTGTGAGAGAGTGACTGGACCAAAGTCACCCAGCCAACAGGACTAGAACTCACCACCTCCTGGTGAACTGGACCAAATTCACCCAGTCAGCTTTCATGGCCAGGGCAGGACTAGAACTCACCGTCTCCTGGCGACTGGACCAAAGTCACCCAGTTAGCTTTCATGGCTAGGGCAGGACTAGAACTCACCGTCTCCTGGCGACTGGACCAAAGTCACCCAGTTAGCTTTCATGGCTAGGGCAGGACTAGAACTCACCACCTCCTGGTGAACTGGACCAAAGTCACCCAGTCAGCTTTCATGGCTAGGGCAGGATTAGAACTCACCGTCTCCTGGCGACTGGACCAAAGTCACCCAGTTAGCTTTCATGGCCAGGGCAGGACTAGAACTCACCGTCTCCTGGTGAACTGGACCAAATTCACCCAGTCAGCTTTCATGGCCAGGGCAGGATTAGAACTCACCGTCTCCTGGCGACTGGACCAAAGTCACCCAGTCTGCTTTCATGGCTAGGGCAGGATTAGAACTCACCGTCTCCTGGTGACTGGACCAAAATCACCCAGCCAATTTTCATGGCTAGGGCAGGACTAGAACTCACAGTCTCCTGGCAACTGGCCAAAGTCACCCAGCCAGCTTTCACTCACCATTTACTGGTTCCTAGGCCAGCACCTTACACCGCGACACCAAACTGGCTCTCAATGATGCAGGCATTGTGGATGCAACACTTGTGAACTCCACAGCTGCTTGTAAAACAAAAAACTTACCTTTTGAGCCTTTTCTCTTCCAGTTTGGTCTGCCTTTCCTGGGGAGTGATACCTCCAAGCTGCTTGAAGTTGCTGAGGGCCATTTCTAGGAGACCTTGCAACTCTTCCACTTTTCGGTAGGCTCTTTCTGCAAGAGAGGGGGTTGGTTTTTGGTTTTTGTTTTTAATCTCAGAGCATTTTTATGAACATGCTTCAAAGGAGAGGCCAAAAGAAGCAAGGAGTAACAATCCCAAACCATTTAAGCCAGGGGTAGTCAACCTTGGCTCTTTTATGACTCGTGGACTTCAACTCCCAGAATTCCTGAGCCAGCTTAGCTGGCTCAGGAATTCTGGGAGTTGAAGTCCACACGTCATAAAAGAACCAAGGTTGACTACTACTGATTTAAGCAAAAGTCTCAGAAAAGGAATGAGAACCCCTGCCTTCCACGAAGCCTCACAAAGGCTGATTCAGATGAGCAAGAGGTTCAAACTGAACCATAGTTTTTTTTTAGGACATCGTACAGGCAGTCCTCAACTTACAACCGCAATGGAGCCCAAAGTCTATGTTGCTAAGTGAGAAATTTGCTAAGTGGATTTGTTAAGTGGATCACCGCAGTTCTTAAATGAGTAATATGACTGTTAAATGAATCTGGCTTCCCCATTGGCTTTGCTTGTCGGAAGGTTAAGAATAGAATAGAATAGAATAGAATAGAATAGAATAGAATGGAATGGAATGGAATGGAATGGAATGGAATGGAATGGAGTGGAGTGGAGTGGAGTGGAGTGGAGTAGAGTAGAGTAAGTAGAGTAGAGTAGAACAGAACAGAATAGAATAGAATATGGAATGGAATATAGAATATAGAATAGAGTAGAGTAGAGTAGAAGAGAGAATGGAATGGAATGGAATGGAATAGAATAGAATAGAATAGAATAGAATAGAATAGAATAGAATAGAATAGAATAGAATAGAATAGAATAGAATAGGAATGGAATAGAAGAATGGAATGGAATAGAATAGAATAGAATATGGAATAATAATAGAATAGAATAGAATAGAATAGAATAGAATAGAATAGAATAGAATAGAATAGAAAATATGGAATAGAATAGAATAGAATAGAATAGAATAGAATAGAATAGAATAAATAGAATAGAATGAATAGAATAGAATAGAATGGAGTGGAGTAGAGAATGGAGTGGAGTGGAGTGGAGTGGAGTAGAGTAGAGTAAGTAGAGTAGAGTAGAACAGAACAGAATAGAATAGAATATGGAATGGAATATAGAATATAGAATAGAGTAGAGTAGAGTAGAATAGAATAATGGAATGGAATAGAATAGAATAGAATAGAATAGAATAGAATAGAATAGAATAGAATAGAATAGAATAGAATAGAATAGAATAGAATAGAGCAGAGCAGAGCAGAGCAGCACAGCACAGAAAATATGGAATGGAATAGAATAGAATATAGAATGGAATATAGAATATAGACTAGACTAGACTAGACTAGACTAGACTAGACTAGAATAGACTAGACTAGAATAGAATAGAATAGAATAGAATAGAATAGAATAGAATAGAATAGAATAGAGCTGGAAGGGACCTGGAAGGTCTTCTAGTCCAGCCCCCTGCTCAAGGTTGCAAAAGGGTATCACTGCAACCGTCATAAATGTCAGTTGTCAAGCATCTGAATGTAAATCATGTCACCATGGGGATGCTGCAAAAGTCGTAAGGGTAAAAAATGGTCATAAGTCCCTTTTTTCAATGCCGTTGTAACTTTGAACAGTCACTAAACGAACTGTTGTAAGTCGAGGACTACCTGTACTGAAGTGATTTTTACCAACAGATGAACTTTAATCAGTGTAACATGTTAAGTCTTAGAGAGTTTTGTTTTTCGTATCCTTTTTCTTTTGTTTGCTTTCACAATACTCGAGTCCTTGTCTTACAACAGAAGCCCACCCATTATGGCTGTAAATCACGACAGTCTTAAAGCAGGTCACCCACAGGACCTACCCAATTTTTTGCAGTCGTCTATCGAGTTTCTCAGTAATATCCAGGTCACGGATGTCCCAAAGAAACTTTTTCGACTTACATTTTTTTTCCATTTCTTTTCTTTGAAGGCGCTTTGCTTCTCACCCAAAAAGCTTCCTCATTTCTGACTGTCACAGTTTTGGGCTCATTTGTGATCGTAAGTTGAGGACTACCTGTAAGCTGGAATTTTATTATATTTTCCAGAGCAGCGTTCCCCAAACTTTCTGGCTTGGAAGACTGACGGAGGCGGCAGTGACAGGGTAGGAGGGGGGTGATCTGCATATGTGAGCTGCTTTCACAAATGCAGCTTCATGCGGGCTTGCCCACCACAGCCGCTGCCTGATTCCAAACGGGCTGTGGCCCGGTACTGGGCTGCAGACCAGGGGTTGGGGACCCCTGCACTAGAGTTGACTTCTTGAAAAATGTAAAAAAAATCTCTACCCAGAAAGTCCTGGACTCACCACGAGTGTCAGTTTTCTCTTGTTTGTCTTCCTTCAGATCTCCCTTGTTATCTGTACTCCCTTCCACACCGTGATGTTCAAAAAACGTTTCATCTTTTACGTCAATTTCCAAATCTGAGTCATTCCCCATCTTGTTTTTCAGATACGCCACAACAGCCAGCTGGGCAAACCTGCACACTCCACACACCAGTTTAATTACTGGAAAATTAAAAAGCACTGAATTCCCCGTACCAATTCTAATTTCTGCTCTTGGGGGCTCTTGAAAGCCCTGTTAAAATGGCCTCTTTAAATGATGCAAACATAGTAACTGGCATTAGATTTGACTCTAGGTAAACTTTATGAACCATCAGGCTAACCTTATCTGGGGTGGAAGTTAAGCAGGATCAGACCGTGGATAATATTTGGGTGGGAGAACATGTAGATTTCACAGAGATGTTCCAAGGAAGAATTATTGAATATGCTTGCTGCCTTAGTAAGTAAGTAGGTAAGTAAGTAAGTAGGTAAGTAAGTAGGTAAATAAGTAAATAAGTAGGTAAGTAAGTAAGTAGGTAAGTAAGTAAGTAGGTAAATAAGTAAGTAGCTAAGTAAGTAAGTAGGTAAATAAGTAAGTAAGTAGGTAAGTAAGTAAGTAGATAAGTAAGTAGGTAAATAAGTAAATAAGTAGGTAAGTAAGTAGGTAAATAAGTAAGTAAGTAGGTAAGTAGGTAGGTAAGTAAGTAAGTATGTAAGTAGGTAGGTAAGTAAGTAGGTAAGTAAGTAAGTAGCTAAATAAGTAGGTAAATAAGAAAGTAAGTAAGTAGGTAAGTAAGTAAGTATATAAGTAGGTAAATAAGTAAGTAAGTAAGTAGGTAAGTAAGTAAGTAAGTAAGTAGGTAAGTAGGTAAATAAGTAAGTAAGTAAGTAGGTAAGTAAATAAATAAATAAGTAAATAAGTAATTTTTTAAAAAATACCACCTAATGGATTGCATTCGCTGAGGCCCCTTACACTGCAGGAACAAAGCAGCACCTGCACGCACACACATTGTGGACTTCACCTTCACTACAAATACATCTGGGACATGGGAGACGACAGGGGGTGGGTGAGAAGCAGCAGCCACTGCTTTTTTAAAAAAAAAAACAAGCCTCAGGTAACGTAGCTTTTGTTGATTCATGATTCCTTGTGCTGATAGCCCATTTAAGTGCGGACTGTTGGCTGAAGATGCCGGAAAACAGTCTACATTAGCTCATCCCTTGTGGATGGAAGAGTGACGAATTACCTCTTTGCAACATCTTTGGGTGTTTCCCCAGCATCGTTGGCAATATTGCAGTCGGCTTCCCTGTTAATCAGCCACTCTAGGATATGTAAATGGCCTTTTCCGGCGGCTAGCGAGAGACAAAAAAAAGCATCAACGCAGGCATTATTGGCTTCATCTTCTAAAACTAAATCCATCTTCTGGTTTAATCAGGGGGTTAATATTGAAAGGCTAAACTTATGCCTAATATAGTACTGAGTTAATTTAATTGTACAGTTAGTCCTTGCCTCATGACCATCCGTTTAATGACTCTTCCAAGTTACAGCGGCACTAAAAAAAGTTATTCATGACCGGTCCTCACACACAACATTGCGGCATCCCTGTGGGTCACTCGATCAAAATATGGATGCTTGGCAATGTATTTGCGATGGTTGCACTGTCCTGAAGTCATGTGATCATCATTTGTAAAATTCGCAGCCAGCTCTCAACTAGCATAGTCAATTAGGGAAGCCAGGTTTGCTTAACAAACCACGACAAAAAAAATCCTAAAATGCAGTGTGATTCACTTAAGATTAAATAGATAAGATAACCTTTATTGTCATTTTTTTTTTACCATGGGTACACTGGCACACATTAAAAATGAAATTCTGTTGCCTGCTCTCAAAAGTGTACACATACATAACCCACATATAAGCATGCTACATACAACATATGTATATACCAGGGGTAGGCAACCTTGGCTCTTTTATGACTCGTGGACTTCAACTCCCAGAATTCCTGAGGCAGCCATGCTGAGGGGAAAGGGAGAGGTTTCCATGCTGAACTATGCTGGCTCAGGAATTCTGGGAGTTGAATTCCACGAGTCATGAAGGGGCCATAGTTTCCCCTCTGCTGGCTCAGGAATTCTGGGAGTTGAAGTCCACGAGTCATGAAGAGGCCATAGTTTCCCCTCTGCTGGCTCAGGAATTCTGGGAGTTGAAGTCCACGAGTCATGAAGGGGCCATAGTTTCCCCTCTGCTGGCTCAGGAATTCTGGGAGTTGAAGTCCACGAGTCATGAAGAGGCCACAGTTTCCCCTCTGCTGGCTCAGGAATTCTGGGAGTTGAAGTCCACGAGTCATAAAAGAGCCAAGGTTGCTTACCCCTTACATATAAATACATATAAATATTAATCACTGTCCATCTTGAGCTTCTCCTGACCTTTGTGGAGGAGGGTTGATCCTCGGTTATCCCGTTCGTTAACATTGATGATTTTATTTTCGAGTAGCATTCTTAAGGTGTCCAGGTCTCCTCTGAAAGCAGCATCGTGCCCTGGAAAGCTTAAATCTTTGCAAAGAGAGAGAAAAGAAGTTCATGAATTTGAATCATCTCCAGCGAGATACATAATGGTCCACCTAAGATTTTTAAGCACTTGGAGACCAAATAAGAGACCATAAGAAAGGCTGAGTGCCAAAGAATTGAGGCCTTTGAACTATGGTGTTGGAGAAGACTCCTGCGAGTCTTCACCTCGTGAGTCCCCTGGACTGCAAGGCGATCAAACCGATCAGTCCTAGAAGAGATCAACCGCGACTGCTCTTTAGAAGGTCAGATCCTAAAGTTCAAACTCAAGTACTTTGGCCACCTAAAGAGAAGGAAGGACTCCTTGGAGCCTAATGCTGGGAAAGACTGAGGGCAATAGAAGAAGGGGACGACAGAGAATTCCTCCTTATTTCCAGATTGGATCTCTCTCTGAGGAGCTCCCACCCATTGCTTCTTGTCCTGCCCTCAGGAGCTTTGGAGAATAAATTGAGTCCTTCAAGTATGGAAGATGGCTATCAAGACTCCCCTGAGCTTTCTCTTTGTTAGGCTACACATCTAGGTCCCTTTGTCATTCATCCTACGATTAGCCTCTAGATCAGACATGGCAAACACAAGGCCCGGGGACCGGATGTGGCCCACGAAGCGGTTTCATGTGGCCCTTGAAGCCATCCTGGAAACAGTGAGGGAATGGCCCCCGTTGCCTTGGCCCTGGCCCAGGCTGGCCAGAAGCCAATGTACAATTTTGGCGGCCATCTATGCTGAAACGCATTCAGTCTTAACTCCACAAGGCCGTCTGGAAACAGCGAGGAACCAGCCCCTGCCACATCGGACCCGCCCCCTGGGTGCATGCTGGGGAGGTGTCACCCTTTGTGAGGAATGAAGAAATGCACCATTGCACTGGCCACTTCCAGGCATGATGCATTTCTTCATTCCTCACGAAGGGTGACACCTCCCCAGCAGCCGTTTCTTGCCTGTTTTTCTTCCTCTTTCATCTCAAATATTTTCCCACCACTTTGTACTTAGAAAGAAGGAAGGAAGGAAGGAAGGAAGGAAGGAAGGAAGGAAGGAAGGAAGGAAGGAAGGAAGGAAGGAAGGAGAGGGTCTGAGGGAAGTCCTGCCTTAGTCCTGCCCTGCTGCCCTTTCACATCCCCTTGCCCCCTCCTCCTGGCCTATCCTGGGGTCTCCCATCCTATTGCCTAAGGAAGCTTTGGATACAAAGCCGGGTCTCCTCCCATGGAGAGGGAATGGGCCTCCCTCTGACTTTGCCCTCGTAGCCATCATGAGCAACCTGGGTAAGGAGAGCAAGCACAGCAGCAGCAGCCTTGAGGAGGAGGTAAGTGCAGCTGGGCGCTCCCTCGGGGAAGTGGGGCTGGGCTTGGTGCCGTGGATGCTCGAGGGCCAGGCTGGGCGTTTGACCTCTGCTGCCCAGGGCTCCGGGCAGCCCGCACCACCATCCAGCCCCCCCCCACATGGTCTGAGAGGAACAGTGAGACTCCTCCAGTGGACCATGCCTTGGCGCTTGCCCTGGTCCCACCCCCTTCTGCCAGAGACCCTCAGATCTGTCCCACTCCTGCCCAGGCCCCCACAGACACCCTTGATGCGAACAATGTAGAACTGGCCACACCCATCCAGTAGGCCACACCCACTGCAGCCACGCCCAGCCAGTAGGCCCCATCCAGCCTGGCCACACCCACCCGGCCCCCTGAGGGCAACCGCAATGCTGATGCGGCCCTCAATGAAATTGAGTTTGACACCCCTGCTCTAGATCCCTTCTAAATGTTTGTTGCTCTTCAGAATAGAATATAGAGCAATAGAGTTGGAAAGGACCTTGGTTGGTCTTCAAGTCCAACCTTCTGCTCAAAGAGAAGACCCCATACCATTTCAGACAAGTGGCTGTCCAGTCTCTTCTTAAAAGCTTCCAGTGATGAAGCTCCCACCACTTCTGGAGGCAAGCCGTTCCACTGATTAATCAATCTCACGGTCAGGAAATGTTTCCTTAGTTCCAGGTTGCTTGTCTCTTTGATTAGTGTCCATCCACTGCTTCCTGTCCTGCCTTCAGGTGCTTTAGAAAATAGATGGACCCCCTCCTCTTTGTGGCAGCCCCTCAAATACAGGAATGCTGCTATCATGTCGCCCCCAGTCCTTCTTTTCCCTAGACTAGTCATACCCAAATCCTGCAACCGTTCTTTATATGTTTTAGTCTCCAGGCCCTTAATCATCTTAGTTGCTCTTCTCTGCACTCTTTCCAAGATCTCAACATCTTTCTTTATAATGGGGTGATGTAGTATTACAGAGAGGGTCTGGATGGAGTATTGCAGAGGGGGTCTTACTAAGCCTTATTTCTTTGCACTCTTTTCTTTAATTAAACAAAATATGCATCCGAGGTGGCGCAGCAGTTAGGGTGCAGTACTGCAGGCCACTTTAGCTGACTGTGTTCAGCAGGTCAGTGGTTCAAATCTCACCGGCTCAAGGTTGACTCAGCCTTCCATCCTTCCGGGGTAGCTAAAATGAGGACCCAGATTGTTGGGGGCAATGTAAATATATATATACATTGCTTACTGGTGTACACCACTTAGAGAGTGCTTGCACTTAAAGCGGTATATAAGTCTCATAAATAAATAAATAAATAAATCCTGTGTAGTGCAGGTTCCAGTAAACGTGACAACTGCATTTGAGAAGAACAAAAAGCTGCCCTCACAATGTCTCTCCCTTCCAAGATGCTCATCATCACCTACTTTCTTCCTTGTCCAAAGTATCTTCCTTCTCCTCTAGACTGTCAATGTATGCCAGGATGTTTTCCTTGTGGAATCTCTCGGCCAAATCTCGTGGGGTCTCTCCATGGTCATTCCGGGCTTTCAAGGCATGGACCAACGTGGGCATTTTGCTCACCAAATATTTAAAGCAGTGCAGGTGGCCTTCCATGGCCGCCAGGTGAACTGTGACACAACAAGAAAAGGTAATCCAACATTTGAGCTAAACTAGGCAAATCTTTCCCCAAACTGACTCCTTTTAGATATGTTAGGTGAACAATGCAACCTGTTGGGAGTAATACTGGCTCACAGTTGTAGAAATCCCTGCAGAATATCAGAAGGTACTGTGTGTGTGTGTGTGTCCAAGGGAGATGGGCGGTTAAGAAATAGTCTGTTCTAATTATGAGCCGAGGTGGTGCAGCAGTTAGAGTGCAGTACTGCAGGCCACTTTAGCTGACTGTGTTCAGCAGGTCAGCGGTTCAAATCTCACCGGCTCAAGGTTGATTCTGCCTTCCATCCTTCCGGGGTAGGTAAAATGAGGACCCAGATTGTTGGGGGCAATGTAAATATATATATACATTGCTTACTGGTGTACACCGCTTAGAGAGTGCTTGCACTTAAAGCGGTATATAAGTCTCATAAATAAATAAATAATGTGTTCCCCATAGCTACCTAGGGTTGTGAAAGTTTAAAAAAAAGCAAGACAGGAATAAAATTGATTCTAGCTGCCTATAATTACCCTGTGGAAAAATGCACAGCTAATAGATGATAGATAGATAGACAGACAGACAGACAGACAGACAGATAGATAGATAGATATGGGTGGGTGGGTGGGTGGGTAGATGATAGATGATGGAAAGATAGATGATAGATAGATGATAGACGAGAGAGAAGTTGGATGGATTAGTAATAGTAGTAAAGTTGGAAGGGACCTTGGAGGTCATCTAGTCCAACCCCCTGCTCGGGCAGGAAACCCTACACCATTTCGGACAAATGGCTGTCCAGTCTCTTCTTAAAAACTTCCAGTGTTGGAGCATTTACTGCTTCTGGAGGCAAGCTGTTCCACTGATTAATTGTTCTCACTGTCAGGACAGACAGACAGACAGACAGATAGATGATAGTAAGACTTGTTTGAGCTATGGCACCAGAAAGGGTCCTACATGTTTCTTGGACAGCACAGGTGACCAACAAACAAGTATTGGAACGCATAACACGAGACATGTCACTGGAAGGCAAAATTACAAAACTGCGCCTCATTTATTTTGGCCATGTCATGCAGGGGACTTTACTGGAGAAAGCAATTATGTTGGGAAGAGTAAGTGGTAAAAAGGAAACCAGGACACCAAAGAACATGGTGGCTGGACACCCTCAAAGCTGACACCAGCCAGAGCACAGAACAACTCATTGGAGTAGTGCAACATTGGAAGATGTGGAGAGACCTGGCCCATAGAATTGCCAAGAGTCGGACACAACTGGATGGGTAACATCATCATCATCATCATCATCAAATAAATAATCAGACAGTTTAATTATGCTTGTGAAGATTTTTTTTCTCCTCATTTTTAAAAAAAATATGCTATGTTGATTGGGATACAGGTAGTCCTCAACTTCTGATCACAATGGGGACAAGAATTTCCACAAGTACATTGCACCCAATCTTACCAAAACTAAAGAATTTTTCATTTTTTTTTTTTTGCAAAATAGTCAAAACCATGTGAGTCGTTTCATGCTTTCTCCCCATTGCTGTAGTGACCCTGAAACTCATCCACCCAACACTTATTACCCAATCTCTAGACAGGAAAGCATGTTTGGGGAAGAGTCCAAATATAAAAACAGGCCACCAATACACTTCGCTGTCTGAAATAGTGACCTCACCCATTTCCTCTGTCCTCTGGTTCACTGGGATGACAGTGCTACCAAGCCGAGGTGGCGCAGCAGTTAGAGTGCAGTACTGCAGGCCACTTTAGCTGACTGTGTTCAGCAGGTCAGCGGTTCAAGTCTCACCGGCTCAAGGTTGACTCAGCCTTCCATCCTTCCGGGGTAGGATGTGTATGTATGTATGTATGTATGTATGTATGTATGTATATATATATATATATATATATATATCTATTATATAATATATATATATATATATATATATATAATGAAAATATAAAATGAGCACCAGGGTAATAAAAACTATAAAAGTTTTTAATAAATTAAAACTATAAAAGTTTTAAAAAGCGCCAAGCTTTCGCCGTCACCTGCCGGCATCCTCAGGGCTGGCGCGCCAGAGAATGAGAAGGTCTTTTATAGGCGTGTCGAGGTCTGCGCCCGGCTCCTCGATCTTGTTATCGGGCCTAATTGGTTCAGCCGTGTGCAATTAACCTGTGCTTCTTTTCTCTTTTTGGTTGCGTTTTTATCCTCATCCGTCTCCAATTCTCCCAACTCTGGATTAGCTAGATGGCAATTGCAGTTATTTCGGTTGCCTTTATATTCTAACCTCCCCTTAGGCTCAGGTGGTAGTGCACATTCCACATTCTTTTTTCCACCATATCTTGTCCAGTTGTTACTTTTAGGATCGTATTCATTTCCGGTCTCAATACTTTCACTTTTAATGTGTCCGTCATCCTGTTGATCTCGTAAGTTGCTACGGGTCCGGTGCAGCGTGGGGGGGTGTTCCGCAAGGTGGAGGGATCGTCTCTTATTAGTTGTCATGCCCAGCTGTCCTGCGCGTGTCCTACTCCGGGTGCCCGGTCCAGGGGGTGTGTGCGCAGCAATCAAGCCGCGTCCCTCCTGGTTACAGCGCTCTTCCTCAGTTCTCCCCTTTTTTACATTATTAAGAGCATTCGCTTGTATTCCATGGGAGTCCTCAGGACCATCAGGTAGGGGGTGTGACGGCTCGATCTTCCGTACCCTGCCGCTCTCCGATCTTCCCTCCTCCTCTATAACGGTGTGCGATCGTCTCTTATTAGTTGTCATGCCCAGCTGTCCTGCGCGTGTCCTACTCCGGGTGCCCGGTCCAGGGTGTGTGTGCGCAGCAATCAAGCCGCGTCCCCCCTGGTTGCAGCGCTCTTCCTCAGTTCTCCCCTTTTTTACATTATTAAGAGTATTCACTTGTATTCCATGGGAGTCTTCAGGACCATCAGGTATGGAGTGTGACGGCTCGATCTTCCGTACCCTGCCGCTCTCCGATCTTCCCTCCTCCTCTATAACGGTGTGCGAGGGTTCTTTGTCAACCACCCCCCGTGGTTTATCCTTATTAGAGCTAGTCGCTCCGGCTGCATGAGGGGTTCTTCTCCTCCTTTCCGGATCAGCCGTGATGTTTCTTTTGATGTATGGGCGGACCGTTGCGTTTGGCGATTCATCCGCACTTCCGCCTGCCGTATCTTCTCTCGTCTCCTCTTTGCTGCCAGGGGGCCGGATCCTGGTTCTTATCACCCCCCTAATCCTCTGGGATTGCAGTAGTCTCACGGGGGTGGTCGAAGTCTCTCGCGATTGCTTTCCTTCCTCCAAATTGCACATGGTTTGTTGGATGGTTCGGGTGCTGCCCAAGGTGTTATTGGGCCATCGGGGGTGTTGCCGCTGGTTATTGGCACTCCATGATCTTAAGGCCAAATAGGACGGACATAGGTCAATATGCCTATTAATGGATTTGCTGTCCGAGAGCCATGCCTCTCTAAGAAGGCGGCCCCCTTTGGTACTATCATTTGCCAATACACTGACGCCACTAAAATTAAACCTGTGGCCCAGATCCACCGTGTGGGCCCATATTTGGGAGTGGCAATCTCTCCTTCTCACTGCCAGTTCGTGCTCATGGACCCTGGTCTTAATGAGTTTAGCAGTCTCCCCAATATAATTGCATTGGCAGTCCATACAGTCAATCCTATAGACGGCTGCCGATCTTTCGATGCTGGGGAGCGGGTCCTTAGGGCGCATTATTGCCGCCCGCAGTGTTTGGTTGGGTCTATGGGCCACCTGTCTTTTATATGGTGCCAGGATCCTAGCTGTGGCTTCTGATACATTGTGGATATAGGGGAGTGCAATGCGTGTGGTGGCTTGAGGCATGGATTCTTGGGATACGGGGTTACCCCGGAGTCCAGGTGGTTTCCTGAACTGATTAATAAATTTAACCGGGTAGCCGTTACGTCTACATATTTGGAAGAGGTGGTTTCTCTCTTCCTTTTTAGCTCTGACGGTGCTGCAATGTGTCTCCACTCGTTTGAATGGCGTCCTGACACAACTGGCTTTATGGGCCATCGGGTGATTACTCCCAAAGTGGAGAATCCTGTCAGTGCATGTTGGTTTTCGGTATACCCTGGTAGCTAGACATCCATCCACCTGGCGCTGCACAAGTACATCCAAAAATGCCAAATTGCCCTGATCTTCCTCCTCCATGGTGAATTGGATGTCTGGGTATACTGAATTCAGGACGCTCATAAAGTCAGTTTTGTGTCGTTTCTTAATGACCACAAATGTATCGTCCACATAGCGGGCCCAAAATTTTGGTCGATACTGGGCCATCGCTATGTGTTCTAACTGTTGGAGTACCATCTCTGCAACCACACTGGAGATCGGCGACCCCATAGGTGTTCCTTTGATTTGCTCATATATAACACCCTGAAAGGTGAAATAGGTGTTAAGGCATATTTCCATCAGTTTTATCAGGTCCTCCGTTTGAAGGGAGTCCTGATGCTGCCCATGGTCTCCTTGATTAAGCCGGTCTCTTAGGACCGCAACCGCAAGTTCTTGCGGGATGGAAGTGAATAGAGAAATTACATCAAAGGAGACCATGAGCTCATCCTCTTCTACCTTCAGGGTTTTAATTCTGTTGAGGAATTCTTCTGCCGATCTTACGGTGGTGTCGCTGTTACTTGCCAAGTGGCCAATGCGTACGCTCAGCCACTTGGCAAGTTCAGAGATGGGGGTACCCCTAAATGCTACAATGGGGCGGAGGGGGACATTGGGCTTATGTATCTTAGGTAAGCCATAAAATCTGGCGAGTGCTGAGTCACCAGGGCGGATCTTTCTTAGCGCTTCTTCCCCCATCCTCCCCTTACGTTTTAGGTCATCTAGGAGCTTGTTAGTACGGTTTCTCAACGTGGTGGAGGGATCTTTACTAACCACTCTATAAGCAGCACCGTCTTGGAGTAAATCCAATGCCTTTCTTACATATGCCTCTTTGTCCAAAACAACTCCCATGGAATACAAGTGAATACTCTTAATAATGTAAAAAAGGGGAGAACTGAGGAAGAGCGCTGCAACCAGGGGGGACGCGGCTTGATTGCTGCGCACACACACCCTGGACCGGGCACCCGGAGTAGGACACGCGCAGGACAGCTGGGCATGACAACTAATAAGAGACGATCGCACACCGTTATAGAGGAGGAGGGAAGATCGGAGAGCGGCAGGGTACGGAAGATCGAGCCGTCACACCCCCTACCTGATGGTCCTGAGGACTCCCATGGAATACAAGCGAATGCTCTTAATAATGTAAAAAAGGGGAGAACTGAGGAAGAGCGCTGTAACCAGGAGGGACGCGGCTTGATTGCTGCGCACACACCCCCTGGACCGGGCACCTGGAGTAGGACACGCGCAGGACAGCTGGGCATGACAACTAATAAGAGACGATCCCTCCACCTTGCGGAACACCCCCCCACGCTGCACCGGACCCGTAGCAACTTACGAGATCAACAGGATGACGGACACATTAAAAGTGAAAGTATTGAGACCGGAAATGAATACGATCCTAAAAGTAACAACTGGACAAGATATGGTGGAAAAAAGAATGTGGAATGTGCACTACCACCTGAGCCTAAGGGGAGGTTAGAATATAAAGGCAACCGGAATAACTGCAATTGCCATCTAGCTAATCCAGAGTTGGGAGAATTGGAGACGGATGAGGATAAAAACGCAACCAAAAAGAGAAAAGAAGCACAGGTTAATTGCACACGGCTGAACCAATTAGGCCCGATAACAAGATCGAGGAGCCGGGCGCAGACCTCGACACGCCTATAAAAGACCTTCTCATTCTCTGGCGCGCCAGCCCTGAGGATGCCGGCAGGTGACGGCGAAAGCTTGACGCTTTTTAAAACTTTTATAGTTTTAATTTATTAAAAACTTTTATAGTTTTTATTACCCTGGTGCTCATTTTATATTTTCATTATGAATATTCCCAGGGTTCATATTTTTAACCTTTTTAATCGCATATATATATATATATATATATACATACATACATACATACATACATTGCTTACTGGTGTACACCGCTTAGAGAGTGCTTGCACTTAAAGCGGTATATAAGTCTCATAAAATAAATAAATAAATAAATAAATAAATACCGTACCTGGAAGATTTCCATCTTTATCTGCCTCGTCTAAAGTCGCTCCCCATCTGACCACAAACTGGAGGCAGCCCAACCGGCCGTAGAAAGCAGCGTTATGTATAGGTTTCCAGTCCTTCTTATCAGAAGCGTTGACATCCTGGTTTTTAAGATGGAAGGAAGGCAACATTTCAGAGGAAGTCGTGTGCGGTAGGCGAGAGAGTAAACACGGGAGCTTTAAAAAAGGCTTGTGTTCCTTGGAGCATATGGTTTAGCTGTTTCTTCCTCCTTGCCTTGAGGCACAAAGAATCAGGACCATATGCTAAGTTGCGGTTCAGAAGATTTATTGCTCAAGGCTATACACAAAAAACTAGTCAACTAAAGTTCAGTGCTAAACTGACACCACATCAGGGTCAAATTCAAATTTATCAGCAGATAAATTCAAGAGGGATTGGACTTAGGCTACAGATAGTCCTCGACTTACAACAATTCGTTTAGTGACTTGAAGTTACAAGGCACTGAAAAAGTGACTTTTTCACACTCATGGCAGTTGCAGCATTCCCATGGTCACGTGATCAAAATTCAGATGTTTGGAAACTGGCTCGTATTTATGATGGTTGCAGCATCCCAGGGCTCACGTGATCCCCTTTTGCGATCATCTGACAAACAAAGTCAACGGGGAAGCCAGATTCAGTTAATAGCTGCGTTATTAACTTAACAACTGCAGTGATTGACTTAACAATTGTGGCAAAAAAGGGCATAAAATGGGGCAAAATTCACTTCACAAATGTCTCGCGTAGCAACAGAAATGTGGGGCTCAACTGAGGTCGTAAGTCAAGGACCAACTGTATTTGTGACAATGTAATGACTGTAGGCTAATGACTCGCTTAACTCTGCCCCCCCCCCCAGTTCTGCCTGCTCTTCTGTTAAGATATTTAATTTAATAGCTGGAACAGTAAAGTGTCTAATGGGCCAGAGCACCCAGTTGTAGTTGATTGGTTGGAGAGTGCATGAGGCAATCTACGTTATGATTGGTTGCTGGGTGTAAAAGGAGAGTTTCCCTTTTTCCCGCCTTTTTCTTCTGTGTGCTCTGTATGCTGTTCTGTGATTTGCCTGACGTGTTACCTCATGATGTAGTGATGTGCTTGACTATCTTACTTGATATAAAAATATATTTATATATATAACTACAAGTCTCTAACTTCATTTGAACACTGGCTGTGCAGTTCCCCAACATCTTCTCCTACATCTAGCAATATTATCTTACTCCTTTCTCGCTTAGCTTCTAAGTGGCCATTGGTGACTTTTCTATGGATTCAAATTAGCATCGATTCAAGTTTGAATTCCACAGTAAATAAGGGCTTCAAATTTTGTTCAGGAAATGGCGGCTGTACTGGGTCTGGGTGACAACATAACCACAGGAAAACCACAAGTGAAAAATATCTGCGATGAAAATTAAATTACTGTTAATCAGTAAAACTATTTACCGTCGTGCTTAATATCCTTTCCACTGATCTTTCAAATGAGTAACTTCATAGCTCGGGTAATGGTATGTGAGAATAACCTTGGTAGATGAGGAGGGGAGGAGATACTGCCTAGGGAACGATTAAATAAAGAGAAGGGGAGCCCACAACTGAATAATGGGCAAAGAAACATAGAAACCAAGTTATCAGGCAGTAAAAGAGACAGTGGGAGATTTGTATCTTCAGGTTTTCAAGATTATTAAAATAGCCTTACAATAAAGCAGTGGTTCTCAACCTGTGGGTCGGGACCCCATTTGGGGTCAAACGACCATTTCATGGGGGTCGCCAAACAACGCAGTCCGCCATTTTTTCCCCCCTTTTCCTTAGCTGTGCTACTCCCTTTTATTCTATTGGCTTTTGAAATTCTGGGAGTTGAAGTCCACATGCCTTAAAATTGTCAAGGTTGAGAAACACTGGTCTAGATTTTGATCATGTGACACACACGCACACACACCCCGCCCCGGGATGCTGCGACGGCTGTTAAGAGTGAAAAACTCGTAAGTCACTTTTTCAGTGCTGTTGTAACTTCGAACAGTCTTAACTAAATGAACGGTCGTAAGTCGAGGATCATCTGTAAACTCGGTAAATAAAAATACAAAATAGATGGAATTTCTTTTTAGCTTGACCTCCGTATATAAAAAGTAGAGATTGTCTCCACAGGAAGACAATCAAAAGTCAAGATCACAATCAAGCAATCAGCATATAAAGGGCAGGATTCCATTGCGTGCTTGTGACTTTAAAAAGCCATCCCTGTTGAAGAATTATGAAGAATTATGAAGACATAATTGTTATGAAGGACTCAGAGCAAAATAATAATAATAATAATAATAATAATAATAATAATAATAATAATAATAATAATAATTTGTCAATGCCAATGGTGTTCAAGTGGTGCTTGAACACCATTGGCATTAACAAATTATTAAAAAGCGGCCTTACTAGGAACTGCTTCTATCCTGCGACGATATCTGTAATACCATCAAACATCCACATCTGCCTATCCCAGGTCCTGGGTAAGGACTCGATAGGTAGACAAAATGCCAAATCCAGTCTGAACATCTGGCTGACTGTGCGATGATCCATAATAATAATAATAATAATAATAATAATAATAATAATAATAATAATAATAATAATAATAATAAATTGGAAGGTACCTTGGAGGTCATCTAGTCCAACTCCCTGCTCAGGCAGGAAACCCTATACCATGTCAAACAAATGGTTGTCCAGTCTCTTCTTAAAAACGTCCAGTGTTGGAGCATTCACAGCTTCTGGAGGTAGGTTGTAAGTGAATTATGCCTATTCCTACCAGGAGTAACACCAAAAAAAAAAGACATTTCTTACCACCCCACTCCGGAGTATGGTTTGTAAAGTGAATGAGTGTCCATGGGTCGCTGCAAGATGTGCTGGAGTACACCCAAAGTCATCTGGAATGCCTAGATTCACAGCATTGAGTTGAAGGGCCTGAGAAAATACATACATATTACATACATACATACACACACACATATATATAGATGCTTTTTAAAGAGGCAACTGGACTTTCTTGTTTTTCTTTGAAGACATTTCACTTCTCATCCAAGAAGCTTCTTCCGCTCTGATTGGATGGTGGGGAGTTGAAGGATTTATACTGCTTGCAGACAGCTGATCATTTGTCTTCTTTTAGAGAGTCGTTGAGGCCACTTGAAGAGTTGTTTGTGTCCTCAGGGTCACCTGAGTACTGCAAATGGGTGTGGAGCCTTCTTAGAAGTGATGAATGGACTGTGTTGTGGAGATGCAGAAACATCCTGCAGAAAGCACAGCTCCACACACAGTCCTTTCACTAGTTCTAAGAAGGCTCCACACCCATTTGCACTACTCAGGTGACCTTGAGGACACAGATAAACCTCCAAGTGGCCTCAGTGATTTCAGTCTCCATCAGTATAAAGCCGACGTCTTCAAACTTGGTCCTTTTATGGCTTGTGGACTTCAACTCCCAGAATTCTTCAGCCAGCATGCCTGGCTGAGAAATTCTGGAAGTTGAAGTCCACAAATCATAAAAGGCCAAGTTTGAAGACCCTGGTATAAAGGATAAGGATAAGAAGTGATACATTTCACTGAAGCAAAGTTTAAAGTTTAAAATCTGGTACAGGATCATCCTTCTAAAACAGTGGTTCTCAACCTTTTTAATGCCGCGACCCCCCAACCGGTCGTAAGTCGAGGACTACTCAACCGGTCGTAAGCCGAGGACTACTCAACTGGTGCAGCACCGTTTGCAGAATGGGACTTTTGGCGGGCTCAGCAGGGCAGAGACAGCCTGGACAATTCCTATTGGCTTTTGAAAGCCAATAGAATTAGACTCTATTCAAGAGAGTCTATTCTATTGGCTTTCAAAAGCCAATAGAATAAAAGGGAGTAGCACAGCTAAGGAAAAGGGGGGAAAAATGGCGGACTGCGTTGTTTGGCGACCCCCGTGAAATGGTCGTTCGACCCCAAATGGGGTCCAGACCCACAGGTTGAGAACCACTGTTCTAAAACTACAATATCACCAGGTAATATATATTCTTCATATACAGACAAGCTGCAAATTTGGAGATATAACATAATCTTCACATCTTTGACCATTAACTTCCTCCCAAGAACCTGGTTTACTTAGTATGGCTCGCTAATCCAGTGTTTCTCAAAATTGGTGGCTTTAAGATGTGTGGACTTCAGTTCCCATAATTCACCAGATAGCAGGCTGGCTGGGGAATTCTGGGAGTTGAAGTCCACGCATGTTACAGCTACTAAGATTGAGAAACGCTGCTCGAGCCACACAAAAAAAAATTGTAACTGACAGCTGAGAAATGTACAGGGCCTGTCCTAGAAATTAACTTGGAACAAATATGTCCAAATAAGTCGTGATTTTAATTAAACCAGTTTAATCCTTAAACTGGATTACATGGAGACACTCACCTGCATGCAGGCATCTTGGCCTCTAATTGCAGCCAGATGAGCTGCTGTCCATCCTCTTACAGTCACTGAAGTCTGATCGGCTCCATGCCAGAGAAGCCAGTGAAGACACTAGTAAATAAGTACATACACTTTAGATTTCTATTATGTTGAAGGAAAAATCTTCATCAGGGTCCAGTCCAAGCCGGGAATAAACAACACGGTGACTGCTTTAGAAAGAAGGTTGTAGTTTATTGAAGAGGAGAGCCAGACAGAAAGATGCCTCTAGAAAAAAACTGATCACAGGGAGTGGTGGGTTTTTATACCTTCCTGGGCTTTTGTTTGGAGTTGTTCCTGTGGCATGAACTTTGACCTGAGTCTGAGTGTGCCTTTCTGGTATTCTGATGGTGGTGGGTTAATCCTATTATGTCCCAAAGGTCATATCCTGCTTCCCTGGGGCTGGGGCTGATGTCTGTTAGATTTTTTGGGTGTGAGGGTATTGTTGATTCTAGGGATCTTTGTCTTTCTAATCCCAGCTTCCTGACGCCAATCTTTCTGACAAAATCATTACATCTGCATTTCTGCAGACCTGGTTTCTGTTTGGGGCAGAGAAGCTTGGAGGTTGGTTGGTTTCTGCCTTTAAAAATCCTTTGGGGAAATATATTCTGCCTTTTTAATATTTCCCAAAATATTTCTTTTTCTTTCTATAGATTCTTCCCACAATTACAGTCACTATTTCCCATTTCATTGCTTGGCGACATCAGCTGTTTTTATACTACATAATCAACCAGGTCAGTTAAAGACCTCATGGCTGAGTTGCAAAAAAGCTAATCTAGTTTAAACTTTCTTCTAGGTCAAGGATGGTCGTGGTGGTTCAGGAATTCTGGGAGTTGAAGTCCACAAGTCTTAGAGGGTGCGTAATATGGCAGTGGTTCTCAACCTTTTCTTCACTATGGACCTTTTAATTACTTTTGTGGCCATAGACCAGGGGTTCTCAACCTTGGCAACTTTAAGACTAGTGGACTTCAACTCCCAGAATTCCTGAACCACCACGAATTCCTGAACCACCACCAGCTTTGCTGGCTGAGGAATTCTGGGAGTTGAAGTCCACAAGTCTTAAAGTTGCCAAGGTTGAGAACCCCTGCCATAGACCATGGCCACGGATCCCCAAGACCTAACTCAAGATTTAAATAATAGCATTTTTTCAAGCTTTCATGGACCCCCTGTGACAATATCGTGCCCTCCCTCCATCAGTCTGAGGACCACAGGTTGAGAACCACTGGCATATAGCAATAGCAATAACACTTAGACTTATATACCACTTCATTGTGCTTTACAGCTCTCTCTAAGTGGTTTACAAAGTCAGCAAAATTTGGGCCCTTGACAACTAGAAATATATTTATGACAGTATCGAGGTCATGTGACTATGATTTGTAGCCTTCCTAGCTGGTTTCCAACAAGCCAAGTTAATGGGGGGACAGCCAGGTTCACTTAATGGTCACACCATTCACTGAACAACTGGAGTGATTCGCTTAGCGACGGCAGCAAAAAAGGTCATAAAATGGAGCAAACCTCACTGAACAACTATTTAGCAGCAGAAATTTTGGAATCAACTGTGATTGCAAGTCAAGGGCAACCTGTATTCATTTCTTTATATAAGCATTCACTCACTCCTTCGCTCATTCATCCATTCTTTTCAGTTTGAAAGAATATAGTGCCACGCTGGATGGTGTCTTACCTCCAAACTTCCAGAATGGGCTGCCCAGTGCAGAGGTGTAAACTTATAGACTGGATCCACCTCATTAATGCTGATACCAAAGGTCACCATTTCATCCAGTTGTTTGATGTTCCCAGTTTTGACAGCCTCATGAATGGTTCTGCACTTTGGTTTTTTGGGCCTGTCTGCAGAAGAGCAATGGGACACCGACTCAGAGTAACAGAATAACAGAGTTGGAAGGGACCTTGGAGGTCTTCTAGTCTGACCCCCTGCTCAAGCAGGAGAACCTATACCAGTGATGGCGAACCTTTTAGAGACTGGGTGCCCAAACTGAAACCCAAAACTCACTTATATATCATCGGGTGCCGGGTGGGCGTGGCCCATTGGGTGGGTGTGGCCCATTGGGTGGGCGTGGCTTCGGTGGTAATGGCAGACTGGGTGGGACTAAAAAGTTCAATCAATCAATTCCAACTTTGCGAGATCTCACCCCCCCCCCCCGCGAAAAGTTGACATTGATTGATTGAACCTTTTTTTTTTTTTTTTTTGCACACAGCTGCAGAGGCCTAAAGTGAAAAGGTTTTAGAAAACCCAGCTGAAGGCCTAGGACTGGGGCGACGGGGCGCATGCCCACAGAGAGGGCTCTGCATGCCACCTGTGGCACGCATGCCATAGGTTCGCCACCACAGCCCTATATAATTTCAGACATTTCCCTCCATCTACATGCAGGGAAGTAACCAGTGGGGTACCACAAGGTTCTGCGTTAGGTCCAGTGCTCTTCAATATCTTCATAAATGACTTAGATGAGAGAACAGAAGGAAAACTCATTCAAACCTGGAATTAAGGAGAAACTTCCTAACAGTGAGGACAATTAACCAGTGGAACAGCTGGCCTTCAGAAGCTGTGGGTGCTTCATCCCTGGAGGCTTTTAAGAAGAGACTGGACAATCACTTGTCTGAAATGGTATAGGGGCTCCTGCTTGAGCAGGGGGTTGGACTAGATGACCTCCAAGGTCCCTTCCAGCTCTATTCTGATCCAAGTGGCTTTCCAACCTCTTCCTAAAAGCCTCAAGTAATGAAGCACCCACAACTTCTGAAGGCCAGCTGTTCCACTGGTTATTTGTCCTCACTGTTAGGAAGTTTCTCCTTAATTCCAGGTTGGTTCTCTCCTTTATTAGTTTCCACTCATTGCTTCTTGTCTTGCCTTCTGGTGCTTTGGAGAATAGGTTGACCCCCTCTTCTTTGTGGCAGCCCCTCAAATATTGGAACAGGAGGGGAGAGAAGAAAAGAGAAGAGAAGAGAGAAGAGAAGAGAAGAGAAGAGAAGAGCCTGCCTCCAGAAGCAGTAAATGCCCCAACACTGGAAGTTTTTAAGAAGAAACTGGACAGCCATTTGTCCGAAATGGTGTAGGGTTTCCTGCTTGAGCAGGGGGTTGGACTAGATGACCTCCAAGGTCCCTTCCAACTTTACTACTACTACTACTACTATTATTATTATTATTATTATTATGAAGAGAAGAGAAGAGAAGAGAGAGAAGAGAAGAGAAGAGAAGAGAAGAGAAGAGAAGAGAAGAGAAGAGAAGAGAAGAGAAGAGAAGAGAACCTTTATTGTCACTTTTCCTGTGTATATACTGGCACATATTAAAAATGCTGATGTCTATGAAAAAAGAAAGAAAAAAAAGAAAGAGAAAGAAAGAGGGAGGGAGGGAGGGAGGGAGGAAGGAAGGAAGGAAGGAAGGAAGGAAGGAAGGAAGGAAGGAAGGAAGGAAGGAAGGAAGGAAGGAAGGAGGGGAGAAAGAGGAGGTAAAGCATATCTCACCATGTTGGGGGACGAGAGCAGCAGGCATAATCCAGGGTTCTCCCAAATGTCACAGTTCTTCTCTTTTTCTCTCTGCTTGTTTCTTCTTATGTGCTTGTTTGGCTGTTAGGAGGTTGCTATGGAAACTATGTACACTTCCTGTGATGCTCTGTCGGCCATATTCTCTCCTGGCAGGTGGACTGGAACCTCTGGGCACAGAAGACCTCAATCTTGAATAAAGCAATTTGGACATCAATCTTGAGTAAAGCTACCAGGCACTTGCCTTTTTTTTTTCTTTTTCCTTTCAAATAATATCACCTGCGTTCATGGAAACTTGGTTTAAATCACAGTGATGATTCTGGACGAGTCATGGCAGGAGTCAATTTGCAAAACACACTGAAGGTCAAGCAAGGCAAGAGCGATTTAGCTTAATGTGTTGTGAGAAGTGGACCACTGTAATGTGAACTTGATTTGCGAGCAAAATGAATAAATGCAAGCTTTATTCAGGCAAAACCTCTCTTATCCTGGTGAGTATTTTTTCATTACTATGACCGAAAGGAGACTTCACCGCCTTTGTTAAATATCCAATTCTGAAAGTACCCACAAGTTTGTAATCTTAAAATTGGATTATAGCGATGCACTTTTTCACGCATCGGGCAGCCCTTGATGAAAATCTGGTCTGATCTGAACTGATCCAACAGGATTAAGGACGTCCATGATAATGAAACTTCCCTGGTTGGAGTTTGCCTGCTGAACACAATTCAAAGTGCTCACGATGAAAAAAGAATCTTTTGTATTTTTATTTACCGAGTTTACAGATGATCCTCGACTTACGACCGTTCATTTAGTTAAGACTGTTCGAAGTTACAACAGCACTGAAAAAGTGACTTACGAGTTTTTCACTCTTAACAGCCGTCGCAGCATCCCGGGGCGGGGTGTGTGTGCGTGTGTGTCACATGATCAAAATCTAGACCAGTGTTTCTCAACCTTGACAATTTTAAGGCATGTGGACTTCAACTCCCAGAATTCCACAGCCAGCATATTCCTGATGGTTGCGGTGTCTCAGGGGCTCACGTATCCCATTTTGCGACCTGACAAGCAGTCAGTGGGGAAGCTGGATTCACTTAACAACTTATGAATGGCAGTGTTTCACTTAATCACTGTGGCAAGACCGTAAAATGGGGCAAAATTCACTTTCACAACTGTTATTTTAGTTCCAATTCAAATCTCTTGACCGTTCTTTGATTCATGAGAATTTTTTTAGATCAGTGGTTCTCAACCTATGGGTCGCGACCCCATTTGGGGTCGATCAACCATTTCTCGGGGGTCACCAAACAAGGCGATCCGCCATTTTTCCCCCTCGGGGGGTGGTGCCGCGCATGGGGGCGGTGCCGCGCGGCGCATGCGTGCGGCGCAGCACGTTTGTGTGACAGGGGGCGCCGTCACACAAACGTTGAGAAGCACTGTTTTAGATTTTCCCTAAAATAGCCTTGCAGATTGGAAATATTAGGCTTTAGAAAACTAGATATGAGAAGGGTTAGGCCCCAGGAGTTGAAGTCCACGAGTCATAAAAGAGCCAAGGTTGCCTACCCCTGGGTTAGGGGGTGACATGATACGGCCTTCCAATACTTGAGGGACTGTCCCGGAGAAGAGAGGGTCAACTTATTCTCCATAGCATCCGAGCGCAGGTCAAGAAGCAATGGGTGGAAGCTCCTCAGAGGGAGATCCAGCCTGGAAATTAGGAAGAATTTCCTGAAAATTAGAATGCTCATCAATGGGACACCTTGCCTCGTGAAGTTGTGGGTGCTCCATCACTGGAGGTCTTCAAGAAAAGATTGGTCAGCCGTAAGGTCCTGAATTGAACCTTAAAAACGCCTAGAAACGGGTCTTTTGTACCATCGGCTGAAAAAGGTAGTTTTATTTAGGGGTTGAAGTTGTGGCAGGTCTGACCCCACCTGCCTTGGGTGGGGGGGTGGGACTAATCTTTTGAGGTCCCTTCCAGCCGATTCTATGAACATTCAACAAACAGCAGACAAACAAGTGCACTTCCATCCAATTCATTTAACTTCAAGGCCCAAGTTGTTATTCGTGTGCTAGGTAGCGAGATGTCCACAAACCCGCCCATGAAATAAAGACTCAAAACAGGTATATTCTTCACTCTAATTTATTACACGAAATAAATATTAACATTTCTTGGTAATCTCTTCTATTTAGATTCAATAAACCAACAAAAAAGTTAACCATGTTGCAAACGAGCAATCTTACATTTGTTCCTCTAAAATGGAAGGAAAAAAAAAAAGACTTTTAAGCTTTTTGTGTACTGAGTAGTTGAAATTATGAAAAATCTAGATCTGATGTAAGGTGTAGGTAAGTATCCAAAGGGAACTAGGTTAAATTTGTTATGTAAACCTACTTTTCTTTTTAAACGACTAATGTGAATGCTTAAGAAAAGCAATTCAAGATTTGCAAAAGAACTTCCTTCAGACAGTAATTTTCTCCCTATCAAATTTTACAGCAAAAGAATCTTCCTTGTTATGTCTGAAAGAATCCTAGTTAAGCACAAGCCTTATATAGAAGTCTGAGTTCTGTTGCCTTTAAAACACCCCCAAGATTAAGTGTGGTGTTGTTGTTTAATTGGATGGTGTGCATAAACATTACACTCCGTAGATAGCAAAAATATCTTTTATTTATAATTTACATTTCCACAAATGAAAAAAAAATGTACAATTTTTTTCTTACATATACAATCTATTCCTGTTAAATTTGTACACCATCTACAGAACTTCCACACGATAGACACCTGACACGGTGTAGGCAATAAGAAATTCAAATACAAAAATGTATTTATTAACCAAGTCAGTAGCTGGGGCCCTGCCCCAGGCAAACATTTTATTCATATAAAAATTATTTGCATTCGAGAGTCAGTAGGACACAATAAGCATTTCTCTGTAATTAAAAAAAAAACAAAAAACCACAGTTTAAACCGATTCAACCTTTTCAGGCTCTGTTTTAATTTCAGCAGATTCAGGTGTATTCCCCTCAGTGCAATTATTAGCTTTCTCTTCCAGTTCGTCTTTGACTTTGGGGCTGTTACAGGAGTCCTGTCCTTCTTGTTTGACAATATTTAACATAATATTTAGTGGGTTCTCCACAGGAGTTTTGCTTGGAGATGGGGTGGAATCAAACGATGAAGTCTACAAATCAAAATTAACACCGTCACATGTGGGATGGAGGGGGAACACTCCAGTCAACACTGGTTCACAAGATGGCAAGGATTTAAAAGCCACTTAAAATAAAAATCATTCTTAAATTTTTCTGGTTTTTAAGAATCGCTCTAAAATCATCTTCAAAAGGTGGTTCAGAGTTTTTTGTACCTAGGATTTTCACACTAGAGTGTGCCTACGGTCAACCAACAGTCTTTATGGTTAATTCAGCACACGTAAAATCCAGATATTATTCGGATATTCTCTAATGTCAACCAGCCCTAGATGTAATCATCAACAGCAAGAAAATATTTAGTCTGACTTAGAAGATATTGCTACCTCTTACTGCTATAGTCAAATAAGCCCAGTAAGGATTAGTGATTCAAATACCAGCTTTTGCAGCCACAACACAGAAGATCAAAGCAAGTTTTTGTTTACCTTTTGATAATCTTCGTAACACGATGGATGGTAGATCTACAAAAGGAAAGCAAGCTGATCTTAGTTTACAAATATACAAAAAGCCATGCAAAGTACATTTATTTATTTATTTATTTTTAAAATTTATAAGCCGCCCCACTCCCGAAGGACTCTGGGTGGCTAACAATAAAAAACACATAAAACATAACAAACAAACAGTACAAAGACAGTCATCCAGGCGTCAGGTTTTATAAACCCCAGGCCTGCCGGAAAAGCCAGGTCTTAAAGTAGCTTACGGAAGACCAACAGGGTGGGAGCGGTCCTAATCTCCAGGGGGAGCTGGTTCCAAAGCGTGGGCGCCATCACAGAGAAGGCCCTCCTCCGCGGCCCCGCCAAATGGCACTGCTTGGCCGACGGGGCCTGAAGGAGGCCCAGCCTGTGGGATCTAACCAGACGTAGGGAACTATGAGGTATAGTTGCAAAACAAATTCTCTTTCTGCAGGGGGACATCTCTCTCTTTGAACTATTTCTATAAAAATAGGAAGTTAAAGCTGTCATTCTTCCTTTGCTGATATTTCACTATATTTGATTCAATCTTTTTTGGACCTGTGGCAAATCTCACAGAAGTAGACAGATGGAAGTCAGCATGCGCATGATTAGAAGGGACTTTTCAGAGATACCAATTCCTAAAATTTATAGAAATAACGATAGCATATCAAGCCAAAACAGATATTTTTAAGCATAGTGCGTACACAAAGAAATGCAACGTTACCTTTTCCTCTACACGAATTGCATTTTTTAAATGCCATTCCTCCTCTTCCTCATCCCAATATTGCTCAAACTGCTCCTGGCAGATTTCACAGCTCTAAAAGCAAATTAAATATAGTTATACTTACAAAATGTCATTTGTATTTTCAGATGAGCAGCAGAACAATTTCATTTTCCCCCTAAGTGTACCTGGCCCATGACAAAGGCAGAAATTTTGCAGGCTGGCATTATTACTTCTGTAACTAGACAACCCATAATCTGTTGAGTCATTGTTTCAAAGGTATTTCCTTATGTAACTCATGCAGCCCCATACCCCCTTTTTGACTTTTATCACAACACCCACACTTGTGCACCCCCCTTCCCAGCCCAGAATGGGACCATTTGCAACAGCCAACCTACCATGGGACAATTCGCCATGGACAACTCCATGCGGGATAACTCAACACTATAAATGTCATGCGGGATAACTCAACACAATAAATGTTATCTGCTACTCTTTCTTCAACATTTCCATTTTTGTAAATGAAAACAATGTCAAAGAAACTGGCGGATAACATTTATTGCATCGAGTTATCTTGCGTGGAATTGTCCGCTACGATGGCCACAACAAGACAACCACAATGAGTTGTCCTAGACTCTCCTGGCCCACATACCTCCACATATCACAAATGCACAGCACCTCTTGCATATTTCTGATCTATGTGGTGCCTCTTGCACAAGCCTTTGGCTCCCTGGAAGTGCAGTGTGGGTCAGGCACACAAGTGCGGTGTGGGTTGGGAAGAGGAGTATATGGGTGGTGCTATGTGGGTCTGAAGGACACGTGAGGCTGTGGCACAGATTGGGAACAGTATGCAGGGGTTCATGAGAGGTGCAGCATGGGTCAGGAAGGATGTGCAGAGATGTGGCACGGGAAGTGTGATGGAGGTAGACAAGAAGGGCTGTGTGGGTCAGGAACCATTTGCAAGATGCTCCACACAGGTCAGGGACGGCACATGGGTCAAGAAGGTTGAACGGGGACAAACACAAACAAACAAAGACAGAGGGACTGGTTGCTTGAATGGGGAAGACTTATTCAAGCAGCCTGTAAC